AAGAAGAAGAAAGAGGAAGAGGAGAAGGTTACCATAGTTCACCTTTTGTTTATTTAAGTGGAAAATACAATGATTTATTTTTGCTTAATGTAATCATCAACTTTCACCACCTCTTTTTCCTCCTTCCCCTCCTTTCCCCTTTCCCCCTCCCTTCCCTTCTTCCCTTTGCCATTTCACCCTCTTCCTTCACATCTCCGCTTTTTCCCCCTACTCCAATCCCCCAACTCCCCTTCCTACCTCCTTTCCTTCCCTTCCTCCCTTCCCCCTCTCCACTTAAAAGGACAAACGAGGCATAATTAATCACTCGTGTCTTTCCCAAATAATTATAAAGAAAATAACTTACAAAGATTAATTTGGTCGAATGGAAAGGTCAAGAGTTTAAAACAACAATTAAGATCAAATTGTGTCATGGACAACACCTGGGTGGATGTGGGTCCTACCTGGTGGGGGGTGGATGGGTCCTACCTAGTGGTGGAGGGGTGGATGGGTCCCACCTGGTGGTGGGGGGTGAGATGGTCCACCTGGGTGGTGGGGTGGATGGGTCCTACCTGGTGGTGGGGAGATGGGGGGAGGGTGGTCCAGTGCCTTAATGACCAATTTTTACTACCTGGTGTAATTATTGTTACATAAATTTCGTGTAATTTCTCTAGTGTAGGAAAAAACAATTTCAGGGACATTAGACCTCTCTCGACTTCTTCTCTCTCTCTCTCTGTCTCTCTCTCTCTCTCTCTCTCTCTCTCTCTCTCTCTCTCTCTCTCTCTCTCTCTCTCTCATTTCATTTCCCTTCTGATTCACTTATACCCAACACCTCCTCCTCCTCCTCCTCCTCCTCCTTCTTCTCTTCTTCTTCCTTCTCCTCCTCTTCCTCTCCTCCTCTTCCTCTCAACATCCTTATCTCCTCAATACGTCCATGCAAATAATTCCAACCATCATCATCATCACCATCATCATCATCACCATCACCATCACCATCACCATCACCATCATCATCATCATCATCATCATCACCATTACCATCCCCATCACCATCATCATCATCATCATCATCATCATCATCATCATCATCATCATCATCATCATCACCATCACCATCATCATCATCACCATCACCATCACCATCACCATCACCATCATCATCATCATCACCATCCCATCACCACCATCACCATCAACATCACCATCACCATCATCACCATCATCATCATCACCATCTCTACACCAACCATAAGACAAAATGACTTACTACTTACCATAAACTGATTGAAAATAGTCAGGAAGTGTTCATAGCCTTCAGAAACAGTGTGTGTGTGTGTGTGTGTTGTTGTGTGTGTTGTGTGTGTGTGTGTGTGTGTGTGTGTGTGTGTGTGTGTGTGTGTGTGTGTGTGTGTGTGTGTGTGTGTGTGTGTAAGTTTTCCTCCTCGACGTAAAAATTTCCCCCACATGGTTAGAGCGATAACATTGAAAAGGTTGTAACAGATGCAGACGCCTTCAAGGTGTCTGATAAGAACTTCACACACACACACACACACACACACACACACACACACACACACATTTTTTATTTTGTTTTTTAATGGCGGAACTTATCATCGTCGTCATTGTAGTTGGTGTGTGTGTGTGTGTGTGTGTGTTTGGTAGCGAGATGTACTGATAAACATCTCTTGAGTATCACTTTTAAGGAATCAATTCTTTCCAATACTGATAGAATGGTTCATTAATTCCCGTCTATCTCTCTGTCACTTCGTTATCAACAACACTCGTTTAATTTCTTCTATTTGGAACTAACATTACATTCTCTGGGGGTCTTATATCTTAGGTCTACTGTTGGGGGTCTTATCTGGGGTCTATTTTGGGGGTCTTATATCTTACTTATACCTTACTATAGTTCTCTCTCTCTCTCTCTCTCTCTCTCTCTCTCTCTCTCTCTCTCTCTCTCTCTCTCTCTCTCTCTCTCTCTCTCTCAAGCAAGAACAAGAAACACATAACAAATTAACTAAGAACAATAATAAGAATACGAAAACGAACAACAGTAAATAATTTAACTCAAGAATCTGGAATAAAACATATAGGCGATAAACAGATGGTAATACGTTAAGGAAATAAAGAAGAATTAACCCACAGTGGCCACGGGTAAGAGGGAACAAGGCAACAATATTATCTCCCACCCCCAACCCCCTCCTCCCCCTTCCTCCTCCTCCCTCCCCTCCCTCCCCCCCCGGCCCTAAGATGATGGATGAAAGCCTCGGAGAAAAACATGTGGTGTACCTTACTCAACCCGGAAAGATGACGTCAAAAATATAAATCAGTAATAGAAGACTCAAATACATTTCCTCAAGATGAAACCACAGCAATGATAACACTAAGAAAACATCACTATTTAAAAAAATATATATATATTGTCTAAAAATTAATTGAATGGCGTCAAAAAATCTAAAAAGCTCCTCGAGATATTGTACTCACCGCTATGGGGAATTATACCACGATTATTATTATTTTTTTAATGGGGATAATTAAGCCTTAACTTCGTCTAACTTCGTCTGTTCGTGGTAAAGACACAGATGGGTGATGGTGTCAAACTTCCTGAAGGCATTTACTTCTTTAGGGGAGGAAAACATTTAACTACTCATTACGTTTGGAATATCTTTGTGAAGTTGTGATGTTTTTACTGACATCTTATGGCCTGTGATTAATTTACTTCTTACCTTAATTATCTTTAGAAAGTTTTTATTCGTAATTTACTCAGTTTTTTCGTGTGGTTGTTTGGTATAGGGGGAGTTACTGTGTGTTTTTCAGGTCACCATTTTCCTTAAGTTCCTTCCAATGCTGGAGGGGAGAGTGTTGTGTTGTTCAGTGGAGAGAGAGAGAGAGAGAATCACCTACCCCCCTCGTGTTGATAGTTTCCTTCACAAGATAAGACTCTTTGGTCTAATGCACACCAAACCACTGTCTTGGCCAGGACCTGATTACCTCTTGGTTAATTAGAATTATGGTGGTGTTATGGCAGCGGTGGGAAGGCTGCCCCCCAAGGTGAGTTACTGTGTATAACTCATTCTTCAACTGGTGTATATGGCTTGACTTTGATAATATAGGTGGAGTTACCTTGATGAATCTACAGTATCTACGATATTCTACGTTACCTGTGTGTGTGTGTGTGTGTGTGTGTGTGTGTGTGTGTGTGTGTGTGTGTGTGTGTTTAGTCTTATATAAATATATCAACTAAAAACAAAATAAAAATAAAAATAATAATAACTTTTCATATATATATATATATATATATATATATATATATATATATATATATATATATTTTACTTAAAAAGCATTATAGAGACTAATTAATTTATGTAAAAAAAAATATATATATAAATATATAAAATAAATGTTATGTTTTGAAGTTTGTCATTTTCTGGTGGGTGACTTGGCTCAGGTGACAGTGGGGGTAGGGGGTGGGGGTGGGGGTGTGGGGGTAGGGAGGGTGGGGTAGGGAGGGTGTGGGGGGTAGGGTAGGGGGTGTGGGGGTAGTGGAGGGGGGTGGGGAGGGGTTTGGGGGGGGGGGAGGGGGGTGTGGGGGAGGAGGGGGTGGGGGTAGGGGAGGGGGTGTGGGGTGGGGAGGTGGTGTGTAGGGGGTGGTGGGGGTAGGGGGGTGGGGGGGGGTGTGGGGTAGGGGAGGGGTGGGGTAGGGGGAGGGGGGTGGCTGTGTGCTGCGTCGCTTTGTGCTTGACTCACTTAATTTCCTGCGTCGCTTTGTGCTTGACTCACTTAATTTCCATTTACAGTAAAGCTATCTCGTATGTTACACTTTCTTCCTCCTCCTCCTCCTCCTCCTCCTCCTCCTCCTCTTTCTCCTCCTCTTCCTCACTCCTTCCTTCTTTCTGTCTGCTGTTCACTTTTGCTGTTCACTTTTGTGTTATCTCCCATTTTCCTCCTTCTCCTCCTCCATCTTTCCGTCTTTTCTCTTCTTCCTCTCCTTTCATTCTCGATTTCCCTCTGCCCTGCTCACTGACCCGATTATCACATCAATAGCATTTTTCGAACACACTCTCTCTCTCTCTCTCTCTCTCTCTCTCTCTCTCTCTCACTCTCTCTCTCTCTCTCGTACATATATCATGGATGACAACTATTCGATAATATTTCAGACTCAGAGGAAGAAAATACGTTAGGCTCTTGAAGAAAATTGAACATAAACAAGGAAAGAATTTATTGTCTAGGCTTAAAAATGTAAATACAATCAAATGATACCCTTCTTTCCTTCCTTCCTCTCTCTCTTCCTTCCTTCCCTTCCCTTCCCCTTCCTCCTAGAGTCCTGCAGAACACGTCATTATAACAGGCAAGCAAGACGTAACTAAGTGCTACCCCGTGTTGTTATAATGCACATGATACAATGATTCTGTCTCCTGATTAAAATACATTTCTCATGGTAATTAATGTTCCCTAATGGCGTATTGTAAGCAGGAATGAAATGGTAATGTGCTGGAGAATTAAACGTGAGAGTTGCGTAAGGTAGACGTAGTTAAGAAGGGAGGAAGGCAGAGATAAGATAATAAAGAGAGAGATAGACATGGATAAACATATAAAAATAAGAGAAATAAAGACATAATCTAATAAATGAAAAAGACATAATAATGATAATAAACATAAATACAAACATGGATAAACAACACTACAAGACAAACGCACATAACTAAATAAATACACAGTTTGGGTTGAGTTTGGCTCCGTAATTTGTGTAACTAAAGGTGATTTTTGATGTGAGTTTGATCAGAGGTTGTGGAAGCTGGGTCGATGGCACGGTTGATAGGATTCAGAGTTAGGAGATCAAAATCAACTTCTTTTTCATGTGTATAGAAATTTGCATATTTTTTAGGCTCGTGATTCATCTCGTATTTACAAACACTCTATGACTTAAAAAAAAACACACATATACAGAAATGCTTTAATCGTGATGTCGTAGATACAGTTTTTTTTTAATATATATATATCTATACTTAATAATGAAAGGAAATTATTATATGTGAAAAATTTTTACGATACAAGTGAAAAAAAAAATAATTTCACTTAAATATGAAAGTTATGATTATTTCATTACTAGTGAGAGTGATGGCTCTGTTGTTACATGATAGTAATGTTTTGACTGTTCGTTAGGTACTTAACTATCGTGTGTTTATTAAGTGTAGTATTAGTAGTAGTAGTAGTAGTAGTAGTAGTAGTAGTAATTGTAGTAGGAATTAGTAGTTGTTGCAGCTTCATTCCTCTGGTGTTTACAACCTTTGGTGAAGGTAATAACCCCAGGTAATGCCTCATACACTTCATAATATCACACAGGTATATCTATCACCTAAACAAACAAATTATCCAATTAGGTAATTTACCCACACTAATAATTACCACCTGTCTACACCCTAATTATTATATAACCACACCTTCTTAATTAATAATATAACATTTAATAATAATCCCACATATTATATCACTTTAAAACGTAAACAAACTACAGATTCACATTATTATAGGTATTCAAATATATTTCTATTACCTCTATAATTATTTTATTTCCCAGGAACGTAGATATTGTTAGTTACGTATAATCGTATGTGTTTTATATTGATTTTATTACGGGCTATTCATTATGGCTTGTATAGAATGAGACTGTGTGTGTGTGTGTGTGTGTGTGTGTGTGTGTGTGTGTGTGTGTGGTGATTCATGAACAACAGTACCTTAGGAGTTGATTGGATGGTCTTATCAACTGGTACAGGTGAGGTAAAGAACTGAATGAACTATATAAACACTTCTACCGGGTGTCTATCTGTCAATCTTTCTGTGTGTGGGATGAGGGGACGACAGGACCCCCCCCCCCCAAGAGACGTGAGTCCTATTGGCTACTACTCAACTTGCAGAGTCCTTCCAGAGTACGAGTAATTACGAGTCTCGGTAAAGGATGTCATGATGTGTCAACCATTTTAACTAATATCAAAAAGCCAACTCTGTCTTAGTCACTCGTTAACCAAAGACTACTGTAAGTCAACCAAAGACTCATTACGTCAACCAAAGACTACAGCTATCCATCTTATAGTCTCTTCTCGTCCCCCATCCTCTGCTCGTAGGACTATACTAGTGAGAGAGTAAGCTAAAGACACACATACAACCGAAGGACAACACCATTATGACCATAGTTAAGGAGAAGAGATTAAACAAGATCCTGTTCATCCTCAGAGCCTTCTTGTTGCAGTTAACTTGGACAGGTGAAGAGTTACTGCTGGCGCCGCCCATCAAGGAGCCAACGGGAGCTACCTTGATGTTCGTAGCTGGGTGTCTCAAGCGGAGGACCTCGATGTAAACAAGAGAGATGATGATGGTGAAGTCCTCGGAGATCAGGGCCACAAACCACACGTCTATCAGCTTGAGGTAGGCCGTTTTAGGAATTGATTGGCTGGTTTGGGTGAAGAATGTTGCCAGGACCAGGAGTGATGTTAGGGATACCATAATGCGATCCTGAAAGATGATGATTGATAATGATATATATTTATGACGTTATAATTAACTATCTATAAGACAGTTAGTCGTAAAAAAAAGTTAAAAAAAAATTATCCTTAACGGGGGTTGGGTTAGGTTGGGTTAGGTTAGGCTGACTTCACCCCTATACTTAATACAAATGAGTAAATTAACCACTAACTACAACAACGAGGGGGTGGAGGGACGGGAGTAGTGTAAACAAAATCCACCTCTAATCAGGAGTTAGTAAGAGTAACACACCTGGAAATCGGCTATATCGAAGTGCAGTGTGGCCCAGCAGATAATGACAAGCATTATACTGGGAAGGAAGGTGTTGCCGATGTAATACCCGTACTGGTTCCTGAAGGAGAACTCAATCTGCAGATGTATACGTGATAAGTTTAGTTAGATTATCATTATTACATCTTTATCAGTATTATTATCAAACTGTATGTTAAAGTTGAAGTAAATACTAGAGTTTAGTTCATTATTATTACATCTATATCAGTATTAACATAATTTTAACGATTATATATGACAAAATTTAATAAAATCTCGGAGGTATTTCCATACAGCATTGTGGCTTTTGTAATAATTAGTGACGACGATGGAAAGTTTACAACACCATTACCAGAAAGAGTGACCCCGAGGAGAGGTCTGATGGGTAGAAAATGGGAATATCAACCATGGTAATTGAAAGACTTAGGGTAGACTTCGTTAAACTGATACGAGTGTCAAAGGTGAGAGTGTGAGCTGACCTTAATGTGGCTCACTTGGTTGAGGGTGTAGTTGGTGAAGGTCTCAGAGATGAGGGTGTATTCCAGCAGCTGTCGACCCCCGAGGAACTGTACCCCTGGCCCGTCCTGTAGGAGATGTGAAGTGTTATTTCCACGTCTTATCCTGTATCGTTATCACTGTCACTTGTTCCCTTCCACCATCACCACCACTTGTTCCCCTTCCACCATCACCACCACTTGTTCCCCTTCCACCATCACCACCACTAGCATCATCACTTGTTCCATTTCTCCTCTTCACCAACACCATCACCTTCACTTGTCCTCCATCACAACATCACAACAGAATCATTCCTTGTCTTCCTCCACCATCACCACCACCACTACCCCCTTGTCCTCCACCACATACACCACCCATTCTCCAACACAACACACACAATCCTCACCATCACCAAATCACAAAACACTCCTTAAAAACAAAAACACTGCAAACAAGTCCTCTTTTCTTAGTGTAAACAAAGTAAACAATTAAATCACCTGTACCTCACCTTAGTTAACACACCGAGTTCCTTCGTGACGTCTTGTATCCTGTAAACAATTAAGCAGATTTGTCGATCAAAGGGATACATCTTTAGTTTAAACTCACACTTGAAGGTAATTGTCTCCTCTCGTTGGAAAATCATCGAATTCTCTGACCCACTGTACACCACATCTGTAAAAAAAAAAGGATAATTATGTCAAGGTGAATAAGGTAAAAAAAAAAAGGTAATTATTGATTGTTATGATGATTTTGTCAAGGTAATTAAAGATGGTCAGTGTGGTGTGGTTGACAGGGTGTGGTAGAGATAAGGATGGTGTGGTAGAGATAAGGATGGTAATGATGGCAGTCCTCACCTTCCCGTATGGTTGTGTCATCATCTGGTAGAGGTTCAGAGGTTTTGGTCACGTAAACAGTCTGGGTTTGAGAGGTGGACTGGGCAGCACTTAATGTTCCATCCTCCACCTTCATAACTGGCGTCCATACCTGACTCAACACCTTGATCTTATTAGCTAGAAAATTATCCTGTAGGTTACTGAACTTTAACCTTCTATCCTGCCATTTAAGCTTGAGAAAAACATCAATGCTTATGGTGAAGGAGACTAAGCTGAATTCCCTGACGGAGGTAACGTTTAGAGAAAAGTAAATCGGGAGAGGTTTGGCATTTAGAGTAGGTGGGGGGAGACCGGAGGAGTAACCTGTAGGTACTAGAGCAACGTTACAGTTCATCTCATCACTCTGGTCCTCACAGTCGACACTCAGGTCACAGCGGTGGTTCTTGTTGATACACGAGCCGTCATCACAGGTGTATTCGTTGTCATGGCAAGACGTCAGCAATAACTTCACCTGTTGAGAGATAATCACCTTTGATGAGTTGTTATGATCGAATACCTAACTAATACATGTTCTACCTGTGTGTGTGTGTGTGTGTGTGTGTGTGTGTGTGTGTACCAGATATTATAGGATTGTATTAGTTGTGTATTTATGTTATTACTGAGCTTCTATAACAGCGCTTCTATAACAGCGCTTCTATAACTCCACTTCATTAACTGCGCTTCAACACCTGCACTGAGGTCTTAAACACAAGTCCATCAACAATCAAACGAAAGACAAAATTTACTCCACAAATCACTACGTCACTATGTAAACAAGAACCTGTACTCTTATACCATACAGGTTAACAAGTCATTAACCTGGCCAACACGTCCCCATCACCGGAACAACCTAACACACACACACACACACACACACACACACACACACACACACACACACACACACACTGGAAGATAACACTAACCTAACTAAACCCCTTCACTACAGAGACACTACTTTTTTAACATTTTCTTTAGTTAACGTTAAAGAATGAGAGCAAAAGGGGGAGGTCACTGAACGCTGGTTAACCTCTGCTGCAATACCCTCCTCCATCCTCTCACCCTCTGCAGTATTTTCCTCGCACAAATGATATCTATAAATCACCAAATAAAAATATCATCTAACATCAAACTACTGTAGATAAACGCTACTGAAACGCTTTTTATTTTAGTCCAACAACAGGTCAGTGACATGGTACCACAAGTTATCCTCATACTCCGGTGTTTAGATATTGAATAACGAGACCTTAGGTTAGGTTTGGTTAGGTTAGGTCATTCTCAAACTCTAAGTGTTAAGCTAGACCTCAAGTGTTACAGCGTTGTGTTCCAGTATCAGCAACACCCAAAAAACAGTAGGTAATAGTATTGTATATAATTAAGATATTTGTTTTCATTCATAAGACCAAACCATCTGTCCATTCTGGTGTGTCTATCTGTCTATCTGTCTATCTGTCTGTCTGTCTATCTGTCTGTCTGTCTATCTGTCTGTCTGTCTCCTGAAAATATGATCCTGGTTATAACTTTGATAAATGATGAACAGTATACAGGTAAATTTACACTAATTCATCATATACACAGACAGCAGCACAGGTATATAAATAATGTGTATAGTTCAGGTATAAACAATGGTATAATGATTTCGTTTAGTATTTTTTTTTTCATATGATCTAAAAATATTATTGAAGGGTTTTGTCGACGCTAATATCAAGGGGATAATCTGGTAATAGTGTAATTGTTTAGGTGTGTTAATGAGCGTACACCTGGGACTAACCTCTTTCTGTCTACATATGTCACTCGCCTGTCTACACCTGTCACTCACCTGTCTACACCTGTCAGTCACCTCTTTCTGTGTATATCTGTCACTCACCTTTTTCTGTCTATACATGTCATTCACCTGTCTACACCTGTCACTCACCTCTTTCTGTCTACATATGTCACTCGCCTGTCTACACCTGTCACTCGCCTGTCTACACCTGTCACTCACCTCTTTCTGTCTACACCTGTCCCCGTAGATGTACCAGGTGTGGACGCCGACCGGGTACTCGCCTTTCCACTGGGACTGCATCATGGCTCGCAAGCCCTGATAGAGTCGACTTCTCATGATCCACGAGTCGTTTTGTTTCTGCATAACTACGTGAGCCAACCCGTCAAACGTGAGCTCATAGTTCTCATTGTCACGGAAGGAGAAGAGACGATCGAACATGGAGTCTTTGCAGAGTCCACGGAGCCTCATCTCGGGGTGGGTAGTGAAGTTACACAGAATACAAGTCTCTATATCACAGGGGCAGGCGGCCCATTTATACCTGTCGTGAGTTACAGCGGCGATACATTGGAACTCTGGTGTAACAGTTCTGTATTCTCTCAGAAACTGGTACCATTGTATTGGTGTTCCGTCAGTGAGTTTCTGCCACACCCTTGTTGTCAGGTTGCCTCCAGAACCAATCCAATATAGGTGAGTCCAGATGTCGTCACACTGGTCTTTAAATCTGATGAATTTATCGAAGAAATAAGCATTCGTCTCAGCATCTTCAGGGAGGATGAGATGACCCTTGAGCTTCCTACACCAGGAGTAAGCCCGCTGGAACACCATCTTCTGGGCGAAAAACAGATAGAACCCAGTGACGTGATTACTACACATTTCATTCATCAATATCGTCCTGTTTGTGGTCGGGCCCTTGAGCTCTATATTGTTGCTGGACAGATCGATGAGTGGCTTCTTCAGGTTAGGTATGTCTCTACAGTTGAGTAATTCGTTCATCTGTTTGGGGTGTAGGGCGACATCATATACCCTGTAGTCTGCTATCTCACCATCCAAGGTCTCCAGTACGATAAAGTCTCCTTCTAGTGAGTACAACTTCTGTCCCACCACCAGACGCCCCCCACCACGCACCTCCAGTCGCTTGTCAGGACCCAGCTGCCACGTGGGTACCTTCAGCTCCACCTGGTACACCTACATCAGGAAGAATACATCAAGAGTTACTGTATTCGTCTGCCTTGTTCTTACGTATTGTTCAAGGATTTATTTTTTGTATCGTTGAGGATTTTAACTGGAATAATTTTTGTTTCCCCAAGTATTTGTTTTATTTGTAATATTTCTAGTGGGAATAGCGATCACCTGAATAATAGACACCCTAGTTTATTTCACCTGAAGATTATATTCATCCTAATACTACTACGAGAGTTAGATTAGCTTTAGGTTAGTGTTAGATTAAATTAGCTTAGTTTAGGTTAGATTAGATTCTCAACCTAACCTAACACTACCTTGACCTAAACCAAACGTCCTATAGTCGAGGGAAAAATTTCAAGAATTGTTACCAGATCATCATATATAACCAGCAGGATCCGGGTCTCCAGGTTGAGGGAGACGGAGATGTGTTGCCAAGTAAACATTCTTAGCTTGAACTTGAAGGCCTCAGACACCAGCCCTCCACAACACTGTACGTGCATATCCTTCTTCTTGGGCACCAGTTCTGTGTGTGTTGGGTTAGGTTTGGTTAGATTAGGTTGGAGGGATAACGTATATGTCTAAATATTATTGGCATTTTATAATAATTAGTAGTAACAGTTATTTTTAGTTTACAGGATCGTTTAGAGGAGGAAAAACAGACATACCGACAAACAGCTCTTCATTGCAGCCTTCGACGGCATAGTTGAGGAGTGGGATGTGAGAGGTGACCCGACGTAGCCTTAAGTGTACCACCATCGTCATCTACAACAACAACTTATTAATACAACTAACATACAGACGACATGTGTATGATAAGGTATGATAAGGTATAAAGGATTTTTCTAACCCCGCTCTCTTTTTCTTCTAGTTTTGCCTTGTGATTGGCTAGTTAGAGATACACGTAATGAAGCTCTATAGATTGACCAATAATATTGCATCGACTGAAGATACTGCCACATTAGCCAATCATAACACCATACGTCATATTAGTGGGTGTGGCCTAATCTGAGTCCTCCAGTATATAAGCTCTCATCCCCAAGAACTTTAGTGACCGTTCCAGTCTTGTTCTGATAGGTATAGAGTGTTAGGTCTCTGATTCACAGGTGTTAATGAGTCTCAAGGTGGTGGTTGTTGTGATGAAGGTAAACCTCTACACCTTGATTTAATTACCTGTTTTAAGTATCTCTTATCGGGATCTCACCTGTGATTTGATTACAAGAGGAAATAATTAAGGTGTGTGGCAACGTTGAAATATTACGGACCTAATAGATAGATAGATAGATAGATAGATTATGCAGGAATAGTTTAGTACCACACACCTACCTGGCCAAGATGACACCTGTGGAAGGGCCAGGCGGTTCCCTTGACACCAGCGGGCCACCTACCTGACGAAGGGCCACCTACCTGACGAAGGAGAGGAAAGTCGCCCAGCCCAGTGTCCAGAAAACTCTCCGTCGTGGCCACATCACCAGTCTGGAACCTGACCACGCTCACTCTCCGCCCACCTGTAGAACACGCCCACAGGATCATACATAATGCTCTAACACGCCCACAAGATAGTGAAACCTCTATTTAACGGACAATATTTAAGATGGTAGTCCGTTAGATCGCGAGTCCGTTATATGGAGGCTTCATTCTATAATACTGTATTTCCATGTCTCTATGATAACTCTGGTTAGGTTAGGTTAGGTTAGGTTAGGTTAGGTTAGGTTAGGTTAGGTTAGGTTAGGTTAGGTTAGCTTAGGTTAGGGTAGGTTAGGTTAGGTTAGGTTAGGTTAGGTTTAGGTTAGATTAGCGAGTATACTGTACTTACTTGCCGCCATCGCCACCGTCCCTATCGCGAACAGGGTCCACGCCACACCTCTTGACCACACCATCTGTAATATAACACACCTGACTACACCACACCTGGGCTACTGAGGAAGTTAATTTTACTCTGATTCACCATAAAACACAGACACCAGTACAGGTATATAAGAGAGAGAGAGAGAGGTCTTGATAGTGTAGTTCCCGTATGTGTGTGTGTGTGTGTGTGTGTCTGTGTGTGTGTGTGTGTGACCTTTAAACCATTGGATGTTACTTATCAGACCCCCCAGAATTAGCCCCTTCCCATTTCCTCTCCTCCCTCCTCTCCTTCTCCTTCCCTTCCTCCTTCTCCCCCTTTCTCCTCTTCCTCCCCTCCCCTTCCTTTCCCCCTCCCCCTCTCACCCCCCCCCCCATAGTTCGTGGCCGTCAACGTAAGAGCCATCGTCTTGTGTACACACCCGTTTGAATCGACTACCTTCCATCACCTAATACAAATATTTAGTTTTATTTGCTGTAAAATACTATGGAATGACTTCTAGAGTTTAGTTCCTTCGATGCAAATTCTTCATTGATAATAGGAAAATGGAAATGGCTGTACGCGTCAAGTATGTGAGTCAAGTATGTGAGTCAAGTATGTGAGTCAAGTATGTGAGTCAAGTATGTGAGTCAAGTCTGTGAGTCAAGTCTGTGAGTCAAGTCTGTGGTAAAAATGTTTCCTTGTATCTTTAAGTTTATTTCTCAGTAACTAGTAAGAACTTTTCCCTGATGTCTGTTTTGTTATGTGAGGACGCCGACCCCTCCATACAACTTGTCCAGGATCGTCGGTGATGTTTGTTACTGCACTGTCTTGGTTTGTAAATGATTTCTAAGCAGCCAATCACCACCTCTCTTGATTATGACGTGGTTCGCAAACAGCCAATTACCACTTCTTTTTTGTTATGACGTAATTCACAATCAGACTAATCACCCCCCTCTCTTGGTTATGACGTAATTCACAATCAACCAATCACCACCTCTCTTGGTTATGACGTAATTCACAATCAGCCAATCACCCCCTACACCCTTTTTCTTAAAACGTATATTCTATATATGGCTCCTGAACACTATTCCCAATATAGCTTTTAGCTCCAATATTTCACGGTTGTTTCAATAACTTTTTAACCTTTATCGAATTAACAAGAATCCATGTTATATCAGACCCACAACGAGATTATAAAGTAACTATAGTTAATAATTAACCTTAAAACCTGGTGATTATTTACACAGTACAGTTTAACACATAACATTACCTTTAAAAATTATACATTCTGAATCGCCTTCCGGTATAATTATTAACAAAACACCAATCAATATTTTTAAACTTACAATATAACCCATGAAACTAAATAAACTAAATAAAATAAGTAACAATACATAAGAAGACAATAATTAAAGAGGAATTGTTGATTTATGAGATGAATTAATGCACCGCAGAGGGAGAGGGAGAGGGAGGGGGAGGGCTTTGTCGAGGAAGATTTTTTTTTGATGAGAAATATTGGTGGTTATTGAAGATGTGAGATACTATGAGATTTAGTGTAGTAGTTAATGATGATAATGAGAAATATTATGGTTAACAAACATATATCAAGGAATACACGTCAACAAAAACAATTACCAAACACATCAACAAACACACTTAATAAACACACTCAACAAACACACTCAACAAACACACTCAACAAACACACTCAACAAACACACTCAACAAACGCACTCAACAAACACACTAACAAACACACACACACTCAACAAACACACCAACAAGCACACTCACTCAACAAACACACTCAACAAACACACTCAACAAACACACTCAACAAACACACTCAACAAACACCTCTCAACAAACACACTCAACAAACACACTCAACAAACACACTAACAAACACATCAACAAACACACTCAATAAACACACCAACAAACATACTTAACAAACACACTAACAAACACATCAACAAACACACTCAACAAACACACCAACAAACACACTCAACAAACACACTCAACAAACACACCAACAAACACACTCAACAAACACATCAACAAACACACTCCACAAACACACTCAACAAACATACTTAACAAACACACTCAATAAACACACCAACAAACACACTCAACAAACACACCAACAAGCACACTCACTCAACAAACACACACCAACGCACTCACCAACGTAAACCAATACAGAGCGACCAATGGACTCTTACGCCCCAACGCACTTCACTGAGGGAGTTCCGCCGATAAAGTGTCCCCAGTATATGAACTTCCTCGTGTCTCACTTCTGCCATCTGACTTCAGGAACGAATGAACTTTGGACTTATGTAGACGAACTCACACACACACACACACACACACACACACACACACACACACACACACACGTTCATTCGTACACACTTGAAAACACAGGATAATGGTGGCAGGTGTGTAATGATGGTAACAGGTGTGTGATGATGGTGACAGGTGTGTGATGATGATGACAGGTGTGTGATGATGGTGACAGGTGTGTGATGATGGTGACAGGTGTGTGATGATGGTAACAGGTGTGTGATGATGGTAACAGGTGTGTGATGATGATGATGACAGGTGTGTGATGATGATAACAGGTGTGTAATGTTGGTACAGGTGTGTGATGATGGTGACAGGTGTGATGATGATAACAGGTGTGTGTGGTGTTGGTAACATAGTGTGTGATGATGGTGACAGGTGTGTTTGAGATATATTATTGTTGCTTTGTTTTACTTTACATTTGTCGTGTATCTAATGTTCAGTATTTGCTTTATAATAACAATGAAGATCTTAACATTTTTGTAACGTTCAACCAAAATTACTAATGAAAATATAAGTGTTTGAACCTAATACATTCATAAACATCTATACTAAAAGAACGTTCATTGTACCTTAATATGTATGATTATTATCTCATTAAGGTATCTCATTAGTGAGGTGATTAGTGTCGCATAATTACGTTTACCTGTTGGCGTACCTGTGTTGAGCTGAGAAGAGGGTGGGGTGAGAGTTGATTGAGTAAGCGGTGAGATAGGTGACGAGTGTGGTGGTAGAGGTGGCGGAGTGTGTGGTGGTAGAGGTGGGGAGTGTGTGGTGGTAGAGGTGGCGAGGTGTGGTGGTAGAGGTGGCGAGTGTGTGGTGGTAGAGGTGCTGTGTGTGGTGGTAGAGGTGGCGAGTGATGGTGGTAGAGGTGGCGAGTGGTGGTGGTAGAGGTGGCGAGTGGTGGTGATCTGACCAATCATTTTGTAGTAATATTTTTGTCTTTTGTTTTCTTAACTTTCAATATTTTGTTTTTGTTTATCGTTATGTAGTCTGAGAAATGGTTATTGTTGTTATTGTTATTATTAGTGTTGTTGTTGTTGTAGTAATTTAGTACAAGGTGGTTTACTATTACTATTACTATTACTATTACTATTACTATTACTATTATTCATGAGATGGAAAAGTTAAATTGGACTCCTCTCTCGACTAAGACTACTCCGTGTGGATAAGGGTTACTTAATATAGATAAAGTCAGATATGTAGAGAGAGTTAAACATAATTTACTACATAATCACAAACCTTTAAAAAGTTATAACAATAATAACAAAATTATCCATATTTCGCAAGAGACTATATTCAGTTTCAAAGCTTTATATAACGATTAACCCTAAAAGCTTGACGATAACACGTAAAAAGGCAAGCTTAAATGGCTACAAGAACCTTATCCATACTCAGTCCACAATTGTTCTCTCAAGCTTTTCATTAATAAACAGCTTAGTTTCCTTAGTTTCATCAATAGGGACAAACATTTCTTTAATTACACTCAAAATATTCTTCAAGTCATAATTTATCTAACCTTCTGTTTATCTTCCCTGAGTGATAATAACTTAATAGTTTTTCCCCTAAATATCTAGAGTATTTTTCCCTGCCTTAAATAACTTACCGAGATATTCTTTCCTTGTCTGACGTCAATTTTCCTTCCCTTTCTCTAGGTACTGCTGCTTGAGATATGATTTTTCCCCTGATCTTGCCGGATTATTTACCAGCCAGAGGGGTAGAAATGGTCCCTCAGTCACACACGTTATACACTACCTCCGTCACCGCCTCCGTCACCGCCTCCGTCACCACCATCTTCATCAGGTAAGGTCCTAATATATATATACATGATTCATCTCACCTGACGCAGTACTTCCGCGCATCAGGTGATCAATTCGATGGATTTTTTTTATTTTTAAGAGAGGATAATCCATTCCAGTCATCATATTATTGACGTGGTTATGTGTTCCAGCTGTAGGTTAAAAGAGACGTTCATAAAACAGGTATATATAAGTGTAACTCATTTTGAAAACTTTCTTTCTTTCTTTCTTTCTTTCTTTCTGTCTTTCTTTCTTTTCTATTTAAACCAATTTTCTAGTTATTTTTTAATCCATCGTTTCCCCTCGCCCTCTCTATCTCCCACCCACTCAGAGCTCATCAACCTACCAACCTCCTACGCCCCTACGATACCCATACCAACTCACAGGGGAGGGGAGGGGGGGGCTAAAAACAGTCCCACATAATGTCTCCCTAATGTCCGGAATGTCTAGATCAATCCACGGGTTCAGACAGCGCAATTAATTACCTAGACTCCCAATTCAGCCATTCGCAGTCATTTGCCATCAACACGACCACCCGTTCCTGTAGTCTGGGTTCATGGGTGTGAATTATTACGACCAGCCACTGTGACACGCTCCACCTCATTATGGAATCTCTTTACCAATACAGTGTGAAGAGCAGGATTTGTGACATGGGCTCTCCTACCTACCTACCTGTACCTACCTACCTGTACCTACCTACCTACCTACCTACCTGCCTGTACCTACCATTAACAGTGTTCTCTATCTCTACTATATTAACCAGACTACAGTTACCTTATTCCTGCTGCTTCTTGTCTGAGTGTATGTGACCTCTTCTTGTTTGGGTCCCTTACCTGTGTTGCTTAATGATAGACGATAGATTTTATCAATATACTGTAATTAGAATTTTTGGATTATAGTTGGGGGTTTTTTTATCTATCAAGTGTGTGTGTGTGTCTGTGTGTGTGTGTGTCTGTGTGTGTGTGTGTGTGTGTTTTATCCTTCTTGAGTTACTCGCCTCTAATGCTGTTTATGTATTGACTTCTACTTCAGGTTCTCCAGTAATTTTATAATATTTCCGTAACTATATTAACCCGTTTTGATGATGATGATGATGATGATGATGATGATGATGATGATGATGATGATGATGATGATGTTGATGAGGTTGATGATGATGATGATGATGATGATGATGATGATGATGATGATGATGATGATGATGATGATGTCACTTATAAACCTCTATATAAAGACCTCACATCTTAACGGGCTGATGATAATTTCTATTTGGGATGAACCTTAATGGTATCCTGGGTGATGTTAGTAGTGGCTGATAGAGTGACATTTCAACTCCCATAATACATTTTCATATTCCGGAAGGGGTGAAGTAAGGGTGGGGAAGTGAGGGTGGAGTAAAGGGTGGGGTGGTAAAGGGTGGGGGTAAGGTGGGAGTAAAATTGAGGGAGTAAAGGGTGGGGAGTAAAGGGGTAGGAGTAAAAATTGGGGAAGTAAAGGGTGCATTAAAGGGTGAGGAGTAAAGGGTGGGAGTAAAAAAGGGTGGGGGTGATGCAAGAATTGGGGGGAGACAAAAGGGTGGGGAGTAAGGGGTGGGAGGTAAGGGGTGAGGGGGGTAAGGGTGGGGGCAAGGGGTGGGGAGTAAAGGTGGGGGCAAAATTGGGAGTAAGGGTGGGAGTAAGGTGGGGGTAAGGGGTGGGAGTAAAGGGGTGGGGGTAAGGGGTGGGAGTAAGGGGTGGGAGTAAGGGTGCAGAGTGAGGGGGTGGGAGTAAAGGGGTGGGGGGTGTTAACGATTGTATACGTCATTGTGTTTATTCTGTATGGTGGTTGTATGGGTGTTGGGGGAGGGGGTCATGTTTTAATCAAGGTCAATAGCCAGTTATTATACCTATAGATAACAGGTGTTTAATGCCTTCTCCTCATCCTCCTCGCTCCTCTCCTCATACTTCCACCTCACTCTCCTCATACTTCACCTCACCCTCCTCATACTTCACCTCACCCTCCTCATACTTCACCTCACCCTCCTCATACTTCACCTCACCCTCCTCATACTTCACCTCACCCTCCTCATACTTCACCTCACCCTCCTCATACTTCACCTCACCCTCCTCATACTTCACCTCACCCTCCTCATACTTCACCTCACCCCTCCTCGCCACTTCCTCACCCTCCTCATACTTCACCTCACCCTCCTCATACTTCACCTCACCTCCTCATACTTCACCTCACCCTCCTCATACTTCACCTCACCCTCCTCATACTTCACCTCACCCTCCTCATACTTCACCTCACCCTCCTCATACTTCACCTCACCCTCCTCATACTTCACCTCACCCTCCTCATACTTCACCTCACCCTCTAGTGTGTAGGGAAGACTGGTAAAAATAATAATAACCTCAAGTTTTGTCCATAGGCGATAAAGGTCAAATAATGGATGAAAAGGTTAAAGCCAAGTTTGTAAGGGAATGTAGTCTTGATACACGGTGGCGGAGTGGTCATTCTACTGGACTGGTTGTATATCGTTCGCGGGGTTCGAATCCTCATTAAAGTGGCAATATGTGAGTGATATATCCAATGTTAGAGGAAATATTATTAGTACAGAAATATCACAGCTAACTTGTTACATTAAAACTCAAACAGCTTCACAAATATCCAAATCACAGGGGTAGCTCCACCTTTCCCACCTCACCTCAACGCCTACCTGGTCACATGGTACCTTAACTCATAATACCCATAAGTTAAACCTGGCTGGTAATAAAGGTTAAAGTGCTATGGAAGAACCTCATGTGTTGGTGTACCCCTCGACTCCACCAGGAAATAAATAATGAAAAGACTAACACGACTTTACACTGTGTCTGTACACTCTCGGGGGTCTAGCGCCTGTGTTGAAGATTTGAACGATGACCACATACAGAGAATAGCTATAATGATAGTTTCCTTCCAGTAAATTTTCTGTAAATCTCCTCTGAAGATCATCAAAATCACCTCTTAACTGAACGCCGTCACACACACACACAGACACACACACACACACACACACACACAGACACACACACACACACTTACGATGAGAACCCAAGTAAGGAATTCAATTAAATACAACTGAGGTCAAAGTTACTCCTGAAGCAGCTATCATCGTTCAGACTAGTCGAGACGATCATTCAATCATAGGTGTCTTTTCTGGCTCTCCTACACCGAGGTCACTAAACTTAACCCAACACTTCGTTCATCTGCAGTACTCCCCAGACACATGGTGTGATTTTTCCCTCGCAGTATTTCCTTGTGACTGAGAGTAAAATATTGCCAAACTAACTCCACACCTGTCGACAAAACTTTCCGCTGCCTCGTCACTAGACTGGCTGTCACGAGTCGGCCAATATTCCGCCTCGATGTTGAAGTCAAAGCAAATTGTATTTAATCCCTTTTAGGGCGTGAAGTAGACGTAAGGGCGGGTCGAGGCTATATTGCCGCCAGCCTTCCTAGATTAAAACGCTTTTGACCCATTTCCATTGTAAAAAAAAATATATACATCAACAGCGGACGATAACAAAAGCCGTACAAAATAAGAGTCCCCCAAAGAAGGTCTTGATGTTACTCGGCTGTTCCTCCTTCAGTCTAACGCCGACCCAGGAAATCTTAGGGTGTTTGTGGTGTTTGTCCAGTGTGTGTCTAGAGTGACGGTGCTTCAGGTCTCTGCTGGCTGATGTTAACCGACTGAAGGGGAGTGTTGGAGGACCTAAGCTTCCCTTAGACTTGTCCAAATGTGATAATGTGTGAATCAGGCGATATATTGCTGACCTGACCTGACCTGTAATTACCAGCCTGCCCTTCCCTCCACCCATGAGGACACTACAGTATGTCACCCGCTTGTGTTCACTGCCTGTGAGTGTGGCACTTACCATGGGGGAAGTAAACGACCTCTGTGTGTGTGTGTGTGTGTGTTGTCGAGTGATCCTCTTGTGACTGTGGCTCCCTGGTGGTGACGTCATGGTAGGAGGCACAAAAGGCCTGTGTCTGTCCGAGAGAAACAAGTGCAAGAAAGGATATCAAAGACAAATTAACATACAACCAAAAATATACAGATAAATCAGTTACTGTTATTATGTAATGAATTACTGTCACATCTTACTTGGTGTTCTGTTATGTGATGGTGTATTCTTTTACGTGGTATTAACGTAAGATAACGAGGGTTGCGGTGGCAGAGTGGACACAAGACTCGTGTTGGCGTATACCAAGATCACAGTAGCGTTGAACCTCTCAGCGGGTCGTTAAGGTACACACTCTACCTGTCAGATGCTGGTAATTACTGTATTGTCTTTACATTTTGAGGGATCACGTGAGAATTAACCTTCCCAAAGCTTTTTTCACATTGAGTTTAACCACCCTAACGCTAACCTAACTCTCCACCTCCAAAAAAAAAGCTTTCTAGGGAATATGATCGATTGTTCATATAATTCACCAGATATGTTAAAAACTTCCTCATTTTTTTTTTGCTCTAAAGGCTTACAACAACATTCCTTCTCTTAAAGCCATTGCTGTTTCATTAAATATTCTTTATATATTTGTAGTTGTAACGTGTGCAACTGTTGCATGAAAATTGGATTCGTCAGAAAAATGTTGTCACTCAAAGCGGAAATAAAAAATAAAAACTTTAATTAAATGAAACTGTCAAAACCTGATTCTTTTGTACCGATGCATAATTCATCTGTGTGTGTGTGTGTGTGTGTGTGTGTGTGTGTGTGTGTGTGTGTGTGTGTGTGTGTGTGTGTGTGTGTGTGTGTGTCTACAATGTTTCCGACGCTTCTCATTTCCTCTCTGTTATTTTCCTTTCCATCTTGAATATAAAATTGAAATTGAAAAACAAAATATATTGGATGTTCAGGACACCACCTCCCCCACCCTCACCCCAGGGACACCACCTACCCCACCCTCACCCCAGGGACACCACCTCCCCCACCCTCACCCCAGGGACACCACCTCCCCCACCCTCACCCCAGGGATACCACCTCCCCAACCCTCACCCCAGGGATGCCACCTCCCCCACCCTCACCCCAGGGATACCACCTCCCCCACCCTCACCCCAGGGATACCACCCCCTACCCTCCCTCACCCCAAGGACACACAGAGTTAACATATAGGAGACAGAACAGTGTACAGTAACTATGAACACAGACTTAACCAAATAATAAATTACTCAACAAACAACAAACAACAAACTCGGTAAACAAAGGGAGAAATTCTTAATAAACAATGATGTGTATTATGACATTTCAACTTCTTAAAGATCACCTAAATCATGCTAATCAAAAACTTTTTAAGAGAAATGTAAATCAAGTTATCATTACTAAATCAAGTAATAACCTTTCCAAGTTAGTGTAATTTAGGAAGGCGCTGAGATGTGTCGTCGTTAGCTCAAGTGATGGTTTAGGTCTACTGTACTGGGCGCTACCTAACATCACGTAACATCCAGGAAGGTGAGGTGATCTGAAGGTGGTGTGGTAGTGTTGTGGTGATGGTGTAGGAGATGGGATGTTGTGGTGGTGATGTGGAGGTGTGAAGGGTAAAGATGTAATGGTGGTATGGAGTTGTGGTGATGGTAGCGTAGTGTGGTGGTGACTACTAGACGTGTACGAGCTCTTGATTGTACCTGATCAAGTGTCAGTGTTGGTCAAGGTTGAACTTTAAGGACCTCTAGTGAGATGACCACCCGGTAACTCCTGGTCTTTACGTGTGACTGAGTAATGCCCTTTGAGGTGCTTATAACCTTCTACTAAATCATTCCTTACCCTTCTGGAGTAAAAAATCCTATAAGAGACTCGAGATCCTATCATGTGTAGGATCTTACCTATTGTAAGTTCTCTACCTATTTGTGTCACGTTATAATACATGATAGAAGAGGTGATAGGCATACTTAAAAGTGATTGTAGGTTCTATAGGCATGAACACACTGTATACTAAGCCTTCGGTGCACAAGGAGGCAGCATGGCCGGTAGTGCACTCTACCGCCTTCACTTCCCCAAGTTGTAAACATAGGAACCCATTTCCAGCTGGGTGAACTGAGAGTACCAAGGAATCGAACTCGAACCATCAACCCATGCAACAGAAAGCGAGCTCTGTATCCACTCCACCGCTGCACTTCATAGGTATACTTATAGGCACCATGGTGGCTGATGGGGTGACACCAAGATGTCCAGTACTTGCCAACAGTGTGTTATAGAGAAACGTGACTGACCACCCAAGCGGCTAACGGAGACGATCAGTGACGAAGAGGATAAAGTAAAGCAAAATACGAATGAACTCTTTTAAGATCCATGTTTAAGACCCCGTGTGTGTCTGTGTCCAGTACCAGCCAACAGTAAGCAACAGTGAACTGCCTGATCTCTAGGTCGACTTGTAAGGTGGGAGGCTGAGAAGAGGCTAAGGAATTAAGCAGATACGAAGCGCCTCTTTTTGGGCAACGATTACATGAAAAGTTGACATTAATGGAGTATCATAGAAATCAGGATAAACAACAGATGAAATAACTTGAAATATAAGCATACAGTCGTGACATAGGTAAGAAAAGTCATCCATAATCATACGAAACAAGAATTTAAGTATGTTACTCCTTTACTAAAATTTTCTTTGTTTAATAAATAAAGAAAATGTATATTATTTTATGGCTAACTATAATAGATTTGAAAGCTAATTTGGGTGTAATAAATCTTCACAATGAGCGTAAAACTTCTTCTGTAGTAAAGTAACTATTTAAATAAACCGTAATGGTCATATGATTATTTCAATAATTAATTTTACTTTATCCTTTTTGCCACTGCTCGACCGTTACTTCGCCTCACTTCTTTTACTTCCGTTTGTAAACTTTTCTTCACTTTACTTTCCGCTTGTAAACTTTATTATGGTCCCTCTACCGTCAGTATTACGTGTATCCTCCACCCACTCACAGTACCATGTTAGTAGTAATGGTAATAGCGGTAATAGACAAGGTAGTAGTAGTCATGGTAGTACTACAGACGAGCAAGGGGGGACCTAGTTGAGGTGTATAAGCATCTCAGGGGACACTACTCAGTTGAGTGTCCTTACTTGGAGCTGGCGGACGCTCGCCCCACAAGGGGTCACAGCTCAAGATTGAAGCCGCAAGTCCAGAAAACCGTGAGGGCAAACTTTTTCGGAGTGAGGGTTGTAAACTCTTGGAACAATCTACCAGAGAGTGTTGTGACGGCACCGAGTGTGAGTTCTTTTAAGATAAGACTTGACCAACACTGGAGCGGGTTCAGGTACATAGTAATCATGGTAGTCTTACAATCACCGTTCACTCTTCCCACTGACGTAAATAATTAATCTCTCAGATAGGAATTTGAAGGGGGTAACAAGCAGTTCCTCTTCGTCAACAAAGAAACACATCGGATGAATTCTCTAGCCATCATAGCTGCCAGTTGTACCACATTCTCAAATTATTTGTTGATTAATTTATTTATAAAAATGGCTGGTAATATAGTATCAACCACTGGTATGTAACTGTTTGAATGCGTGTATCCAGTATCAGGAAACGCTATCAGTTAATCAGGTATATCTTATCGTTAGCTTACCTCCCTACCTCCTACGTGGCGGAATACAGTGATGGCCCTACACTGAGGAATAGCGTTGTGTCGTTGTGTGGTGTGCTTATGTAACCAGATATATAAATCTGAGTTAGTCATTACTAATATTATCCAGTGAGATTTTTTTTCTGGTAGTTGTGTTAGAAAGAGTAACTTTAATTAATGAACAGAAACGAGATATGAAAATTACGAATAATTGAAATTTCAAAAGAATGAGAGAAAGTTGACTGAAGACTCGGAGGTGTGAGGGTCCATCTCCTCGGTCAAGATGGAGGGTCGTGACGAGGTTAGTTGATTTACTGAAACTGATAGAGAAAATTGATGTCATAATCGGCAGAATTTGTTTCTGTGTTTAATAATTAGACTACCATTAATATTATTATTGATTCATTTACATTTTAATTTTCATCTATTCGCTTTCATGAGTATTTTATTGTCTCTTGTTAAAGTGTTGAGTTCATTTACGTGTTTCTTTTGTTTCCTTCGCAGTGCAACGTGACAATTGTTGACTCAACATCAACCATTACAACAACAACAACAATGGTACCAACAACGACAGAAACAATAACATCAGCAGAAACAACGTCAGCAACAACAATATCATCAGCAATGACATTAACAACAAGAGAAATGACAACAGTCCAAGCTCCTCAACTACCACCAACACCCACAGGAGCTCCAACACCACCACCACCATCAACAACACCACCACCAACACCTATAGGAGCTCCAACACCAACACCACCACCACCACCAACAACCACACCACCACCACCAACAACCACACCATCACCGGCAACAACAACAACAACAACACCACCACCATCACCAACAACACCACCACCAACAACACCACCACCACCATCAACAACACCAACAACAACAACAACCACACCACCACCATCACCATCAACAACACCACCACCACCATCAACAACAACACCACCACCATCAACCACACCATCACCAACAACAACACCACCACCACCAACAGAACCAGTAACAGGAACAGAATTACCCCCAACAGCTAAACTACAAACACCATTAACAGAAACACAAATAACGGCACCAAGTAATGTATATCCAACAGAATCAACAGAATTAGATACATCAACAGAAATGCAAAAGTTACCAACAGAGGTGAGATAACAGAGAGGGGGGGGGAGGGTGATATTAACAGGTGTACTAATTAAAGAGGAATATCTACCTGAAGATTAGACACCCAAGGTTATTTCATCATTAGACTAACCAACTCAACTCTAACCTAACACCTCTAGGTAACGTCAGGGTGGGGTGGGAGAGGTGTATAATCTTCAGGTGATAAGATAGAACTGTGAAAATATCGCTACACATCACTGTCATAATATTAATAAATTATAAAAACATTTCCAAACTTTTAATTAATATATTACCGTTTGCACAAAGTATCCAAGAAAATACATATAACATTTTTTTTAAGTCATGCTAAATAGATATTAATAAACTCGTATTTTTTTTTACAGGATGCGGAGATGATGGATATAGACGAGGAACCTCTGTGGAAGGATGCGGTAAGTACAGTTGACTAAACCATCAAAGATACCATATACATGATTATCATAAATGTTCATGATATCCAGTTTTCATCAATAAGATAATTATGAAGATTTGATCACAGTATTTATATTAGGTTGAGATGACTGGACAAGCATAAGGCATAAAACAATCGAACGTATAGCTACCTATCATCATCGCTACAGTAAAACAAATAATCAAAAAACAATTGAATCTATAAATGTTTGTTATTCTTGTTGCAGGAAATAAAGAAACTAACAAGGCAAGTGAAAAACCAGCAACGAGAAATGGAGAGGATGAAGGAAGCATATTTAGAGGAAAACAAGTTCCGGAGAAGTTGTGAAGTGAGTGTATTCAAACGCAACTTTTATTACGTGTACTCTTAGTGCTGTTTTCATTTTCTAATTTTCCTAATATGTATTTTTTTCTTGTATTTATGTATTCTCCTTTATTTCTTGTCTTTTTTGGGTTTATTGTTGAGATTTATCTTTATTTTCTTCTCATTATATTTTTCGTTATTACTTTTCTCGCTTCTCCATTTTATGTCTCCATCTCTTTCTGTTACACTTACCAAATATAAATTAAATCCTGCTTAAAATGTTATAAACTGTATATATGAATATTAGATAGATATTCAGTAAGACCTATCTATATATGTTGATTGGAAAATGTCTAAACGTTAACTAAGAATCAATCTACTAATTGTTACAGAAACGTATAAGGGACTTGGAAGTAGAATTAAACGCCACTAAAACTGACAATAACTCGATTAGAAAAATGGAACAGTATTATATGGTAAGTCAGGTTGAGTTTATCATGAATGACTGTTTTCCATAGTTATACTTTGACTATATATGTGTTCTTTTTTGTTATGAGAATTTGTACACGTTAAGAAGATGAGAACAGTTGTCATAAATAAAACTAATAATATCAAGACGTCATAGTGCAGGTTATCCTAACGTGTTTCTTATATACGGTATTATTAAACTAAAGAGTCGGGTGTTCAGAGGTGACCGTAAATGAAGAATGCCATATCAGTCATCATGCCGAGTTATATTACAGTATTCATAACTTATAACCGACAGGCTTTGGCGATCAGTTGGCAGACGCAGTACAACACTGTACTAGATGCCTACAACAAGCTGGAGGATGATTTCACTAAATATAAGGTGAGGAATGGCATAGAAGAGGAATTGTATTGAATATTAAAAGAACAGCTGAAGATTTACCCCCCCCCCCAGCTTATTTCACCTTAAGATTAACCACGCTAATTCTAACTTAATCTGATCTCCCAAGTAGCAGCATAAGGAATAGGGTGTTTGATCATCAGATGAAATAAGGAGTTGGGGGTTAATCTTCAGGTAATCCAATCAAATTAATTATCTTATCACATTTCGCCAGGTCTACGTTGAGAAGAAGGCACAGGATTTAATGGCCGGTGGAAATAGCCCGAATACCGCCAGAAATCAGCATCCTCTTCAGGAGGAAATTCCTCCAAATGTCCAGAAGATTCGGTCTGTTTCCGCGAACAGTAGTTGGGGTGAGCCACGCTCCACCTCCCACTCGGCTGGATCTCGTGCATATGACGCTGTGAGTTGTGTCTTGTTTTGAAGACAGGAATAATTATGGACAAAATTTTAACACTCTTTCTCCCTTGGCCAGCCATTAGCAGGTGTTGAGAGCCGTTAGCAGGTGTTGAGAGCCATTAGCAAGTGTAGGAACCCACAGCAGGCGTAGGGGGCCCATAATAGGCGTAGGGAGCCCACGGCAGGCATGGGAAGCCCACAGCAGGCGTAGGGAGCCCACAATTGATGATGGTAGCCATTATTAAGTGTCGGGAATAGTAACATATATTAATAAACTACAAAGCCATTATGTTGTTAAAGGGCGAGCCCATAGTGTGTGTTACAAGATAAATACATTGTAATTATCAAGAGCAATAATGAACAAGTGCTGTGAGTGTTGTCAGTAAGAGAGAACACAATACAACTAGTGTAGAACAATGTACAGTTGCCAACATAAGTCCTCCCACAGCCCTGTGTAGCAGGGTTGTGGGAGGACTTTTGTTGGCAACTGTACATGTAGAGAGAAACAACTAAACCTAACTTAACAACACCTGTCAAACAAAAGAAATCCAACAAACGTTATTATATGAAGTGTTGCGATGAAGTAACCTTGTGTTGCAGATGCTGCCGTCTGGCCTGAAGAATATAGGCAACACTTGCTACATCAACTCCGTGCTCCAGTGTCTCTTCAATGTGTATGACTTCAGTTACCATTTTATCTATATGGGATACAAGTAAGTTTTTCTAAGTAATTATCTTTATCTTTCAAACCAAGTATAAGTGTGTACAGTACAGTAGTGTGATTTGCTGAAGTATTTTGATATTATCTATGTTTAATATTGAGATATAAGTATGTAAGTATCCATCACTTATATAAAACTATATTAAGTGTTCTCAAGTATCTTCACTCATATGGTATTAAGGGCGATGGCATATCGTGTGTTGGAGGCTAGAACTACACTCGACAACCTTCACTAATGTAAAGTTAGGTGATCATTCACAGCTGGGTAAACTGAAGAACCAGCACCTTGAAGTAATGAACAAATACTTAATGTTGGTTATTAATGACAACCTAGAGATCTATCCGACTGAAAACTTTTAAACGTGTACTTTCCGTTTGACGTGTAGACAGGACCTCAACAGAGAGAATAAGCTGAACGCCGAAGTAGTTGATGTGATCGCCCAGATATTTCAGGCACTGCACAACAAGACACCCACCGACACCTACCTGCGTAAGTTCAAGGTGGGTATAAATATATCTGTTGAATTAATGAAAAAGCAGGAAAGGAGGATAGAGAAAGCGAGAGAAAAACACACAAATTTATAGGGGCTTCTTACACGATAATTGTCACACATCACACAAATATATAATAAAAAAACACACACCGATACCCCCTCAGACATAAAATCATTGAACGTGCAAAAAAAAACAGCAAAAATTATAAAATTAACAAGATCGTTTCCTTTTATCGCCAGGATGTTCTTTGTAAATGCGATGAGCAGTTTGTAGGGTCTGGCCAACAAGACGCTCACGACCTGCTGACTGTGGTGTTGACATGTCTACATGAGGCACTTACCACGGTGGGTCCTCCTCTCTGGTTCTGTGTGTGTGTGTGTGTGTTTGTGTGTGTGTGTGTGTGTGTGTGTGTGTGTGTGTGTGTGTGTGTTATTCTCAAGATGTGAGGAATTACGAATAAAACCTTTTGTGTGTATGTTTGCAAATGGTTACATGTATATTACAGGAAACATGTGCCAGGAATCTCATAACTCTTCTTCTACATTGAAAAAAAATTTAAATCCAAGTTTTCTTCCTTTTGCTTTTATAAACTGCAATATCCTCCTGATGAATTATAATGTAACAAGTTTTTTCTCTCTCAAAACCTATAACTTTCCTCTACATTCTTAAACCTCACGACTCTATATTTTCTCCCTCTAAAACTGAACGAATTTCAATTTTTTTATCAAAGAAAACTTATAAAATCGTCTAAATTTTCCCTCCTTCTCCTCATCTCTCCCAGGTCCAGGATCCAGCTAATGACTCAAGCATCTCCATTGTTTCTGATATCTTCCACGGGCTGCAGGAGTCTACCATCGTGTGCCCCAAGACCGGATCAGTCATCTCCCGCACTCGAGAGACCTTCAACAGTATAAGTCTCCCGGTCGACATGCTCAAGGACTGGTCTCTGGAGGTCAGTTCATCTGATAGAAAATAGATACTTAAGTCACGGTTAAGTGGTCATTTAGGTTTCTAATGGCCTTAGTGGTGTTTCAGTTGAGTTTTATGCATAGTACGGTACGTGTTAATGAAGTGATATTGATGGTTCAATACTACATTATTCAGGAACTACTTTATTCAAGGTTGTGTGTGTGTGTGTGTGTGCAAAGATAACGTTTATCAACATGTCATTGTACCCAAATTTCAGTTTCATGCCAAATTTAAATCCTTGAACCAACCCTAACACGTACATAAATTTACATGGGTTGGTGATATCCCAGCTCACACACACACACACACACACGTTTCAATAGCAGCATCCTATAAATTCTGAACCTCTAACATGACCCCTTAATCTTGCTGTTGAACCCGTAGGAGCTGATAAAAAAACACTTCGAGGATCAGCGTATCGAATGGGAGTGTGTTGACTGTGGCACCTTACACCCTTGCAACCACACCACCATCCTCGTCACCCTACCTATTATCCTCATCATTCACCTGAGCAAGTAAGTCTCTCATTATGATCCCCATTCTCACAGAGGCACCAGATAAGTTTGAGGACTCATTGATAGCAAATTATTGGTTCACATCTACACGCCTGAGATCCATCCCTTAATCTGTATGTGTATGTATGTTCTTGAAAAAAATGTCTAAGTTTGATTCTGTATCTGGTTTTAATTAATTATTGATAACCGTGCTCATGAGGGTCAAACTTTATGTCCAGGTACACTAAGCGGTCGGTTAGGGGGCAGAAAAACTTGGTGCATTATCCCGTGGAAGGTCTTCGTATCAAGAGGCGCCCCACACACGACACTGTCAGGTAACTCTTTGTTGTCTTTCAAATGTGGCATTGTTTTTTAATATTTTTTTCGGAGGGTAAATTCTTGTGTGTGTGTGTGTGTGTGTGTGCGTGTGTGTGTGTGTGTGTGTGTGTGTGCGAAGCTGGCAGTATTGTGGTACTTACAAGAAAGATAAGAAGGATGGATGACTTGTTTCAATTCATAATATAAGTGTTAAGATATTTTCTGATGTCAATTTTTAAAAACTTTTCTTATTTTCTTTTTTTTTATAAACTTAAAGTAATAACAATCATTATGGATCATGTCTTCTTTTGCAGGATAGCAAATTACAACCTTGTGGGTGTATGTCACCATCGAGGAACTGCCAATGCAGGCCACTACTTCGCCCTCTGCAAGAAGTGGGACGACAATAATTGGTACTTGTATGACGACAGCTACGTGAGCCAACTTCGCAGCCAACACCACGCCCCCGACACCGCCCACATACTCTTCTACAAGGCCATGACTGAGAGCTACCCTACACAGATCCCTCACACTAACTCGTCATGAATACCTTAAAATGTTTATTGTTTCGGTGAAGTATTTTTGTAATTTGGGGGAATTTTTATTAATAGTCATAATCCAATGATGATTTTGCTTAATTATCTATAAGTTTTTAATCCACTTAAATTCACACAAACAGAAAGCCTTTTTATTTTTCAAAATGGCAACACTGCATTGTCAAGTCTTCTGAACTCGGCCTCTGATGAAACATAACAAAAGCTCAACTACTGCCGGTGATACTGTTGTGAAATATTTTAGGTAAGCGTAGATAAATACCTCTGTTGTTCTTAAAAAGCTAATAGGGCGTGGCTGTAAAAACTGTGCCGTTGTGTTAATGTTCTTATTATGTAAGGTATCGTTATGTAAGTAATTTGATCAAGTTGTTTGGGAGGAATTATATATATATGAATATAAAATTTTATTTATTGATGTTTGACCTACTGTTAGTTGATATTTTCGCTTTTCTGACAAGGGAGATTTTTTTTTTTTCTTGAAGCTTGGTGAGCATATATTGTACCGTAGTCCAACACGTCTAAAAGAGCTAATTTTTTTATTGGATTATATGTTATTTGGTCACCCACTTCGGTTTTTAATGAAGGAAGGTCAAAATGGCTATCTGGTATAGAGACACCTTACAACAAGCACAAACACACGCACACTGTAAAGCAAGTTATCTAAAAAAGCATCAGAATCTCTACGACCAGAAAGAAAGTTAATATTAGTTCCCCGAGATTATTTGTTTACTTTGCTTTACATTTATATTATGGACAATTTATCGACAGCTCTATATAAATGACTAACATGAGTAAATTTTCGTTATTTTGTCATTGTTGATGTTGCCCCTTGTGTTACGGGGAGGTCTCTGTATTGAATAAAATCATGTGGCATGCTATATTGAAGGGATTAAACGCGTTTTCTATGTTATTAAATACACTATTGTTTCAAATATTTATTTTATATAAGCTAGTGAAGAGTTAATTTCAGCAAGTAGGTTTATTACGACTCCTGATAAAGAAATTGTACTAATATTGACGAGTACACTGCCGACGCGTTATCTGTTCTGAAGTTTATATTCTTCTATATTTTCATCAGGTCGTAGCATTAGGCAATAAGCGTAGATAAGACAGTGTCGCCTCTACATTAACTCCATCAGCACAGTTACGTAAGAGATTTAGGCATTTATCCCCCTCCCTTCTTTATCGTCACACTATCCGACCTAACATTGAAAGAAATGGAACGAAACCTCGGTAAAACTTCCCATTCTCATTACAGATTCATCCACCTCTAAGAAGAAGAATATCTTGAGCAACATCTGTTAATAATATAAAATCAAGTGTAAACAGTAGTCTTGGTTTGATGGTCTTGAGTCAGTGGAAAATTACCACTTAGGTTTGATTGTGTGTGTGTGTGTGTGTGTGTGTGGAGGGTTATCTGTGTGTGGGGTTGCGTGTGTGTGTGTGTGTGTGGAGGGTTATCTGTGTGTGGGGGTTGCGTGTGTAATAATAATAATTAACGGTTTTATTGAAAGAGCTTACAGCCAGAAGGCTGAAAAAATATACAGTTACATATTTGGGGAATGGGTTTGAATTACAAATAATATACAAGTAAATATAAGGATACAAATAAGACATATAATAACTAGATGGGGAAAAGTCAAACTACAGTGCATTTTCAATATAGTGACAGTAGAAGGAGTAGTGTGTGTGTGTGTGTGTGTGTGTGTGTGTGAGGGAAGGAGGAGGGTTGTCGAGTTAATACTCAATATGTGTATATACTGTATATATATATATATATATTACTGGAGTAACTTATTGTATGGTAATTGGGCGTGTTTTATTGGGGGAAGAGGTATATCGCATATATGTAAGAGAAGATTCTATAACAAAACACACATAAACACATCCACACACACACACGCACACACACACACACACACACACACACACACACACACACACACACACACACGCACACACGCACACACATAAACAATATACACACACATATAAACAATACACACACACACACACACACACACACACACACACACACACACACACGCACACACACACACACACATCAACTGCAGATTTCTCGATATTCAACAAAATAATAACGTGGTCTCTAGTGTTATCGTTTATATTTCTTTTATCATTTTATCTTATCTTGGAGGGCCACCGAGCAAACCAGCCCCCAACTGCCAGTTTCTCTTCACTCAGGTAAGCGTCCAGGTATGCATAAAGCACACCTGTACATTATATTATTGTTGGAACAGTGAGACGTGTACATTATTAAATTCGAGAGGTGGGTAATTTTTCACGGCATCCAGCTAAGAGGAGTAAAGTTTTGCTTGTAATCCCCAAAGTTTACTAAAATATCGTCTGAAGATTAGATAGCCTAGCTTATCTCTCCTGCGTATTTAACCACCTTGACCCTATAACTGTGAAAGGTTGGTTAACGTCAGGGTGGTTAATCAGCAGGTGAAGTAAACTAATATGTCTAATTTTCAGGTGATCCCCCAAAATATATGATTACTTGTGTTAGATAAATTTTGTGGAATATAAAAGAAAAATATTGAGAAAATAACATCGGTCTTCATATTGGTAAGACATGATGTGTGATATTTGAATGTCAATATGTATTATGTATTCTAGGACCTAACTCACTTTACCTCGTTGAAGCCCTAATAATCTTAATGAATATATTACTTTTCTAAACTTTTATATTTGTTGAAATTGATTTTGTGTTTAGGACTTAAAGACTCTAGCTATTGAAGGACTTTAATACATCATAACGTCATCAATAATCTTCTATAATATTTTAATAGTTTTTGTATAATGTGGAAACTGATTTTGAGTCATGTGGTTAAAAATCTCAGTTGGCGACACAGTGAGGTGATAGTGTTATGTCATGTACTCTGTAGTGATGCCAATCTTATATGGTAAATAAACTTTTAATGTTGGTGAGTTGAAATAGAGAAATATTTATATAGTTACATACCTGAATATTATCAACACTCGCCTTATGGAAGTAGACCAAGACATTGTTAGGTTAGGTTAACACATTGAGTACGAGGTTAAGTCATCGTACTCAAGAAGTTAATCATAAACGGGGTGCGGAAAGTTTCACACTCTTGCAGACTTACGGATAAACAACGAAATGCATAACAAAGTAGAAAAATGTGTGTGTGTGTGTGTGTGTGTGTGTGTGTGTGTGTGTGTGTGTGCGTGTGTTTTATTAATGGTTATTTAGGAACAAGTTCATAAAAAGAGTCACATTTCAGGGGCCGTGGACGGAAGGCTGGACCATGGATCAAGAGGACCTCACCCATCACCACCAAAATGTCACCAGCAGCATGACTGAAATTTCAACTACACTCAAGGACCAAACGGTGCCCATGGACCAAACGGTGCCCATGGACCAAACGGTGCCCATGGACCAAACGGTGTCCCTGGACCAAACGGTGCCCATGGACCAAACGGTGTCGCAAGACCAGCATCAGGTGAGTTGTATCTCCCACAAGGTACCTCGAGCCTCTAGTCTCCGAGGATACACAGTGCAGTATACAGAGTAAAGTCCTTAGATTATAAAAAAAGATAAAAATATTTCCCAAAATACATAGACAGCTTAACATCGTCAGCTCTTTTGATTTTACAGGACGTTCTGGGGAGTCCATCTGAAGTCCCACAGAATGAAACCAAACATTCAGATAAAACAGAGATGGAAAGCGACCCAGAGTCTCGACACTCACACTTGAATTCATCGGAACGAGATTCACAACAGCAAGACTCTCTCGCACCTGAGGATCACCACCGTCAGGCAGATACTGTCTCCAGGGAGGAACCATCTTGGGAGGAAATAAACCTGAGAAACGAACCTTCTCAGATTGAAGAGAGACATAAGGATGAGATGGAGATGGCTACAGACCTTCTCAAACTGTTAGAAGACGACAGGAAGAGAGTGGAGGAACTAGAGGCGGCCCAAGAGCTGTGGAAGCAGGAGATTGTAGAAATAAAGCAACTGTTGGAGAGAGAGAGGAAGGCGAGGGATGAGGAAGAGTCCAGACACAAACACAACATCAACGCCATCGTCCAGGAAAAGGTAAGTCTGCGTGTGTGTGTGTGTGTGTGTGTGTGTGTGTGTGTGTGTGTGTGTGTGTACAGAGAATAGTCACAGACCTTTATATTAAGAGGTTTCCAGATAACACCTGCAGGAATGAAATTGTAGAGTCGAAATGTGATTTATAATAGAAGTGCTATATGTATGTATAGTATGTATGTATGTATGTGCAGTATGCATGTATGTGTGTATGTATGCATATATATATGTATGTATGTATGTATGTATGTATGTGTATGTACTGTATGCACTGCCTGTATATGTGTGTGTTTACTGTATGTATGTATGTATGTAGACCAGTCATCTCATCCTCCTTTTCCTTATGTGAAGGATATCCTGAAGGAAGACGTGGAGTTCCTGCAGAGAAACCTGGCGAGGGAGGAGGCCTCTAGGCAGGAGGATAACAAGAAGAACAATCAGATCGTCTCCGGCCTCAAGAAGCAGTACAACGACGCCCTTATGGAGAACGTGAGAGCCTGCTGGTGTCGTGGTTTATAAGGGATAGCTATATTACCTTGCCCACCCCTACCCCCACCGTCTGTAGAACTACCTGTTTGAATTTGTAGGATCAGTCTTAACTTGTAGAACTATTTAAGTCCTTGGATATCGTGTCATGTTATAAAGTTAATTTCTTAAACTCTCTTACAACATTACTGTACGTGAAGCATTATTTACTCGACGTTCTTCTGACAGGATAAACTGCAGAAGGAGGTGGAGGTGTCGCAGAAGAACCTGGTGGAGGAGATGGAAGCCCACCAGAAGGAGAAGGCTAAGAACAATGAAATGGTCGCTCTTCTCGAACACCTCAAGCAACAACTGCGTGAGAAGGTCAGTACAGTGTAGGTAGTGGTAGTACAGGTGTAGGTAGTGGTAATACAGGTGTAGGTAGTGGTAGTACAGGTGTAGGTAGTGGTAGTACAGGTGTAGGTAGTGGTAGTACAGGTGTAGGTAGTGGTAGTACAGGTATAGGTAGTGGTAATACAGGTGTAGGTAGTGGTAGTACAGGTGTAGGTAGTGGTAGTACAGGTGTAGGTAGTGGTAGTACAGGTGTAGGTAGTGGTAGTACAGGTGTAGGTAGTGGTAGTACAGGTATAGGTAGTGGTAGTACAGGTGTAGGTAGTGGTAGTAAGTACAGTGTAGGTTTGTGGTGTACATTTAGGCAAATAGTACATGTACATTAGACTTTAGACAGTACCAGGAAAGTCCCTAGAAATTATTAGAATTGTACAGCACCTGAAATATACACAGGTAATATATTAACCCTTTGATGACGATGATTTAACCCTTTGATGACGATGATTTAACCCTTTGATGACGATGATTTAACCCTTTGACGACGATGATTTAACCCTTTGATGACGATGATTTAACCCTTTGATGACGATGATTTAACCCTTTGAAGACTATAATTTAACCCTTTGACGACGATAATTTAACCTTTTAAGACTCAAAACGTTAATTAAAACTCACCTTTCTAATGTATAGGAGGATGATGCCAAGATGCAACAGACTGAGTTCGAAGCAGCACTGCAGGAGTTAACAGACACACGAGAGAAGTTCCAAGCCTTTAGAAATAACTCCCAGGAAACACTCAACCATTTAGTAAGTTACAAACTGTTTCAGTGTCTTAATCTCTAAGTTAAATCTGTCTTTTCATATATATTTCTCAGGTGGAATGGAGAGAAAAAAATTAAACAAAATTGTAATGAAAATGTAAAAAAAAAAAAAAAAAAATTGGCATAAAAGTTGATACAAAAGTTGGTTAACGTTGTAAAAAAAAAGTAAAAAAGTGAAAAATCTATAAAAAAAAATAAACAAATTATAAAAAGTTGGTAAAACATTTGTTCTTTATTATCTTTATTTCTCTGTTTCTTTATTTTATTTTCGCTTTTCTTCCTCCTCCATTCGCAGCTCGATACGTCCATACGGTATGAGAGATCAGAGGTGGTGAGGGAGGTGGTGAAGGCCGGGGCTGATGCAGAGTTCATCACCCGACAGGACGAAAGTGGTGAGTACAAATTTCAATGGATAGTCTTTCTTTTATACACTAGAGTACGTGCATTCATACATACATACATACTTACATACATACATACATACATACATACATACATACATACATACATACATACATACATGCATACATACACTCTTGCATTTATACGCTCCTCCTCCTCCTCCTCCTCCTCCTCCTCTATCTCCTCATTCTTCTTCTTCCTTTCCTTCTTTTCATTCATTCATTCATATTCATTTCTTTTTCGTCCTCCTCCTTTTCTCGCTCTTTTCCTCCTTTTCATTCTTCTTCTCCTCCTTCTTCCCCTCCTCGTTCATCTTCTCCTTTTGTCCTCCTCCTCCTCCTCAAGTCGAAGCTTTCGATCGTTAATGAGAAAGAAGTTTTCCTTTGGAGTTGTCTTTAAGATGTTAACATTAACCTCTATAATTAAAGTCATTTTGGTGGACCTTTGACCAGTTTCTTTCCTAGGTCGCCGCCCCCTGCACCTGGCGGCTCTTTGGGGTCACGCAAAGGTCACGGAGGTGTTGTTAGAGAAGGGGGCGAAGGTCTCTGCCCTGGACTACTGCGGTGAGTGAAGTGGATAATGTCTCTCTGAGGGGGGTGGTGTAAGGGAGGTGGTGTGAGGGAGGTGGTGTGAGTGAAGTGGATAGATGTCTCTCTGAGAGGGTGGGGTGGTGGGGTAAGGTGGTGTGGTGTGGGGGGAGTGGGGTGGGTGAGGGGGGTGGTGTAAGGGAAGGAGGGGGGTGGTGAGGGGGTGGTGGAGGGGGGGTGGTGTGGAGGGGGGTGGGTGGGAGGGAGGTGGTGGGGAGGGTGTGGGAGGGGGTGGTGGAGGGGTGGTGGGTGGGGGTGGTGTGGGAGGAGGGGGTGGAGGGAGGTGGGAGAGGTGGTGTGGTGAGGGAGGTGGTGGAGGGGTGGGTGGTGAGGGGGTGGTGTGAGGGGTGGTGTGGAGGAGTGGTGGTTTGATGGGGTGGTGTGAGGGAGGTGGTGAGGGTGGTGGTGGGTGTGAGGGGTGGTGTGAGGGGGGTGGGTGGAGGAGGTGGTGTAAGGGGGGTGGTCTGTTGGGTGGAGGGGGGTGGTGTGAGGGGTGGTGGAGGGAGGTGGGTGGGAGGGGGGGTGGTGTGGGAGGGGGTGGTGGGAGGGGGTAGGGACGGGATGGTGGGGAGGGGGGGTGAGGAGGAGGGGGTGTGTGGGGGAGGGGTGGTGGAGGGGGGGTGGTGGAGGGGTGGTGGACGGGGGCTGTGTGAGGGAAGTGGTGTGAGGGGGTGGTGTGACGGGGTGGTGTGAGGGGGTGGTGTGAGGGAGGTGGTGGAGGGGGGTGGTGTGACGGGGGTGGTGTGGAGGGGTTGGGGTGAGGGGGGTGTGGTGTGAGGGGGTTGGTGTGAGGGGGTGGTGTGAGGGGGGTGGCGTGTGTTTTAGAGAGATACAAAAAGTTGTATGACGTTTTACCTAAAGAATTATTATATCTCTTTTCACTTAATCACCATAACATTACTTTAAGGTCAAATCCCATTGTTTGAAAAGTTTCATTTTATTGTGTTGGTGGCAGGCGATGAACCCATCCACACAGCGTGCAGGAACGGCCACTCGAAGGTGGTGGAGCAGCTGTTGAAACATAAACCTGACTTGGTGGACGCCCGCGACCATAGAGGTCAGTACACAGTCTTGAGTTAACTCTTTTATTACCTCCTTACTGACTGACAGGCTGTGAGGCGTACTGACCAGGGGTGAGCTGCCCCAAGGTGTAATATTGTTAACTTAGAGGTCTGATTACACACTTAAACTACTATATTATCGTAGTAATTAATCATTTCATAATATAAATAAACATTATTTGCTTTATTATTGATGGTGTAAGTCGTTAGCTTGTATACAGGTGAGGGCAGGATCATGAATAATTCTTGGGAACACACACACACACACCGTGAGGCTCCTACAGACGGCTTAACACACCATAACACAAATTCTTTGATGATTGTGGACCAGCGGCAGAACACAATCGATGATATACAGTACACTTATTACTGACCTCATCTGTCACAGCTTAAATTATAGAAACCTTAAATTTTCAACATAATTTTTCAATGTTTAGACAGAACTGTGGAGCTTTCATTTAGACCTTTAAAACTGCAGTATTTTCAGAGTTTATGGAGGCTCTCACCTGCCCCTCCATCCCCTGGAGTTTAAACATGTGTCAGGCAAATATTGTGAGTGTAAGCGACGTAAACATAAGTTGTCTGTTCTTCCCCGCCAACACAGGGTGGACACCTGCCCAGTTGGCAGCAGCGGCGGGTTACCCGGAGGTGCTGGCAGCCCTCGAGAACAACGGACTGGATCTGAGTACCGTCATTGATGACCAAGGACGCTCTCTTCTTTACTATTCAGCCGCTAATGACCAGCTGAGGTTATCAGTGTGGCTGGTGGACCACGGTGTAAAGCCTTCCTACGTCAACAAATGGAATGCGAGTGTTCCTCTCACCCACATGCTACTGACCAGCTTTCTAGGAATCGCCCATCGGCTTCACTTCTATAATTGGGTTAGTGTCAAGTTGATATACCTGTTCTTGTACTGTACCTTGAACTGTACTTGTAACAGTAGATGTACCTCTTCCTTGTACTGCAATTGTTCACGTATTTACACTTGTTCTTTTATTTATATTTGTACTTTAACATTTTTATCTGGACTTGTGCATATATTTATAACTATGTCCATACCAGTGCTTGTATCTGTAGTCTCTCTCTCTCTCTCTCTCTCATGAGTGAATGACAGATTGACAAACAAGTTCTTATTAGTGTTAAACTACTCAATTAACAATTGCAGTTAATTGCAATACTGTACTGCTGTTTTTGTATGGGTCGATGACGCAGTACAGCCTAATGTTTCAGAAACTTGTGTTTTACAACTCGTACAAATTTAAATACCCCTGATAAAAATAGGTACTTAAAATATAGCAACGTCACAGCACTCAGCTAGGATCTCAAAGCAACAGATAACGTCAGAGCCCCTCTTCTTACATGCGTTTCAGGCCTCTGCAGTGATGATGTTGTGGCCGATACAGAGTGTCGCCTTCTACCTGTATAGCTGGTGGTGGGAGCGACAGTGGATAGGTAACACGAAGCAAGATTACCAACTCATATTACAGGTAATAATCACAGGTGTCTTGAGTTTATTGGTATTGAAATACATACAGGTAATATATGATGCACTTTTGGTTGAGGTTTGGGCAGGTAAATATACAGGTGCTTATGAATATGTTTTGGCTTAATAGGGGTGATGACTATTTCTTTTAAGTATATGAGCATAAGGTATATAAAGGTGATTATATAAAGAGAGTCTGGCTGTATGTGTGTGTGTGTGTTTGTGGTAAATACAGTACAGGTGAGTGTAGGAGGGGGGGAGGGGGGTGTGCATGATGGTAAATATATCTTGTTGTTATTGCTGGAGATGATTTTAATGTCAGACACTACTGCTACTACCACAAGCGGCAGAGAACTATATACTTTAAGACTCTACAGCTCGAGAAGATTGAACAGAGAGAATATCGTTCCCACAGGAGACACACACGTTGACGCCACCACCACCACCACAACACCAGAGTCCCCAGCCCCACCTACAGCAGAGTCAACAGTTGCCACAGGGGACGAGAGAGAAAAAGAAGGAACAGAGGATGAAGAAGGAAGGGAAGGGACAGAAACAGGATGTAGTGATGGAAGAGACGGGAGAGAAACAAGAAGTAAAGGAGAAAGAAAAAGGACAGAAACAGGTGATGAAGGAGGAAGAAGCTAAGCAGCAACAGTCTCAGAGCACCAAATGGGTGGAACAAGAGGAACAGGAGTCGACGGCATCAACACGGAGGAAGAGGAACAAAAAACAGAAACAAAAACAAAACAAAAATAAACGACTCGAGTCCCCGGATGAGGTAATGTAAACACACACACACACACACACACACACACACACACACTGGACCTCTCCACGTTGTCGACTCATTCGTCAATCACTGGAACTCTCTGTTTAAGCATCGGTTTAAAGGGTGACTACTGGAAGTCTTTTAAAAATTGTTGTGTTGGACCAAGACTTCTGTGTGTGTGTGTGTGTGTGTGTGTGTGTGTGTGTATGTGCGTGTGTGATATTGATTACTAAGAATTATCGAATATTGAAAAAAAAAATAAATCTCTTTTTATTTTATCTAATATTCCAATATTTATTTTTTGTTTTCATTTCCCAACAGTATGGAAAGCCACACGGACTTCCTAACCTGGGCAACACCTGCTACATGAACTCCGTGTTGCAGTGTCTTTACTTTACCGACCCTCTCACCCAGTACCTCAAAGGAGGGTAGGTCCTCACTCTGTACATGACTGGGCTACACCTGGCCTCACACACACACACACACACACACACACACACACACACACACACACACACACACACACACACACACACACACACACACACACACACACACACACACACACACACACACACACACACACACACACATACACACACATACACTCATTCACCCAATCTGGAAAATGAAATGAATTTTTATATATCTGGTAAGGTCTCTGTACATTTTTGACGCCATTTTGGAGGTGGGGGAATAGTTAACGATTTGCCATCCAGTGCTGTTTTTGCTAGATGTCCGGTCTTCCTGGGGTAGAAGATGGTCTTAGTATCTTCATCATGTGCTAAGAGTCTTATCTGGCACTCTCTCTGTAGGTGCCAGAATGGGAAGGTGTCAGGGGCCTACCAGGGTGTCGTGCAGGCTCTTACTACAGGTGCCAACGCCCGGAGTGTCGTGTCCAAACTCAAGGTTAGTGCCACACCTTTACACCGTTGCTTCATCCACACTACTACTACTACTACTACTACTACCACTACTACTACTACTACTACTACTACTACTACTACTACTACTACGACTTATGGGTACTTTACATCATCATTCTCTCTCTCTCTCTCTCTCTCTCTCTCTCTCTCACTGCCTCGTCTCTTTCAGGAAAATGTGAGTAGCCTTGACCCGCTGTTCAGTGACCACAAGCAGAAGGAGGCACACGACTTCCTGATGGTGCTTCTGCAGGAGCTACACAACGACCTAGCTAAGGTAAGAACAGACCTGACGAAGGTGAGAACAAATTGTAATTAATGTACTCTCTAATACTTCTTTGTGGGAGTAAAATATTTCACTCCCACGAGATATAATTCTAGATTCTGTAATTGATACTCTCTCTCTCTCTCTCTCTCTCTCTCTCATACCTTTAATTATTACCCCCCAGAAAGGTGATGGGGGTGGTGAAAAGAGCTCAGTCGTCTCACAGCTATTTGACGGGACACATCGCTCGACCATTACCTGCAACAAGACCAAGGAGGTGTTGTGTTGTGTTGACGAGCCCTTCTCCAGCCTCTCCCTAGCTGTCAATATCTCGCGCTCCTGTCAGTTGGAGGTATGACAGATGTTGACAGGTGTATACATGACTTGGAAGGTGTTAAGAAATACGAGATAGATGTAAATGAGATGGACAGGGGTAGACAGGTTTTGACAGGTGTAAACTAGTTAATTAAATGACACAAGGATAGACAGGTGTAAGCAACATAGAAAGACGTAAACAACATACACTGGTGTTAATAAGACAGTTTACAGACTTCAGTAATAGCTAGTCTAATTAGTTTTAAAATCCAAGGACTAGTAGGCCATATTTAGCTGTTGATTATAGCTTTATCTGTCTCTATAGCCCTATAGATCCTAGCTTTACTCTCCTGGGGAAATATACTGCTATTAATTTTAGCTTACCTGTTGTGATACATAGTTAGCTTTATTGTTTGGATACATACAGTTAGATAGCTTTTATTATTTGGATACATGAAGCTTAGTACCTTAGCTTTATTGATAGTAGAGATACAGCTAATTAGTCTAGTTTTGTTTGAATAATTGCAGCTAATCATCCTACCTGTATAAAGAAAAATTCAACTAATTACAGGTACTTTTGTTGTGATGATTAGGAACCTCTCCTTATCCTCACTGATCCTACCTTCATCCTTACTGATCCTAGCCTTATCCCCCTCTTCCTAGCTACACCTTACCCCCCCTCATCCTAGCCTTATCCTCACTGATAATATTCTCCCTGGCAGGACCTGGTGCAGCACTACTACAGGCAGCAACAGATCATGTGGGATTGTTGTAGTTGTGAGAAGGATCATCTCTGTCCCCAACACACTGGTCTCCTCCACATACCTCAGTACCTCATCTTACACCTGAGCAGGTATGTATGTGTGTGTGTGTGTGTGTGTGTGTGTGTGTGTGTGTGGGGCTGCCCTTACCTGCTGACTGATGTGTTATTATTATTATTATTATTACGTTTATTATTATCATTATTGGTATTATTGTTATTTTATTAGTAACTGTTTTATAATTTTTCTTATTAAGATTGGTAATAACGATGATAATGGTTGTTGTTGTTGTTGTAGTTGTTATTGTTGTTATTGTTCATTAATGTCCATATGCAAATTAGTCAACAGGCTTCAATTTGCAGGTACAACAAGAGTGACCCACACGGCAAGAAGGCAGAGGTGACCTTCCCACTTGAAGGTCTCGACTTATCTGAGTACATGGTGTCTCACGAGGACAGGTGAGTGAGTGTGTGTTTGTTCTCGCGAGGACAAGTTAGTATCTGAGATAACTTGTGCATATCTTCCTGTTATGGGAATTTAAAATGTTATTCATTTATCTTAATGTTGTTTCGGGTCGTGTCGTGTTGGGCTGTGTCGTGTTGGGCTGTGTCGTGTTATATTAGGTCGTATCGTGTCTCTTTGTGTTGTTGCAGTGTCGTATCATTCAATATTTAGACGCTATGTTATGTTCATGTAACGTTATTTTATACCATGATAGGGTACAGTGCGTCATCGTACGTCACCTTACGTTATGTTACGCTCTCAGGACTCGGGCAGGCCACTATGCATTGTATGGGGTGTGCGTTCACGAGGGGACTATGACGTACGGCCACTACACCGCCGTTTGCAGGGACTTCTCTAGCGGGCAGTGGTACGTCTTCAATGACCTCAGCGTCCGGAGCATCAGTCAGGCCCAGGTCCTCTCCCTACACAATGCTCACATTCTCTTCTACAGGAGGGTGGAGAGCGTGTGAAACCTAGGGGCAATTAGCTCTCGTCGTGTTGGTCCTGTAGTAAACCTCCTCTTCTTGCTAGGACTACAGCATACTTGTTCATTGAGGAAGTTTTTGTTATGAGTTATTTAAGGTTATTCGTAAGTGATTGTGTCATATAGTGTCATGGTGTCATATAGTGTCATGGTGTCATATAGTGTCATGTATCTTGAGTCATTTTAGTGGATATCGTTGTTTAAGTTACTCCAGTGAGGCTAATTCTTAAGGGTGTTTGAACTTACGTTTATATATAATGTAATAGTATTTTCAATCACAAATAAAGAAAAGATATTTGAGTTTTCTTTACAATTCTTCTTTTTTCTTTTTATTTATTTTGTTTGTATGGTGTTGTTCACTGTTTTGATTCATTCAGTGACCTCTCCTTCCCTCTCCCTCCCTCTCCTCTCTCCCCCACTCATCACCTATGGTCAGCTGTGGCAATACACTTGGTCTTGTTTTCTGTTTATTTTATTGTTTTTCTCTCATACCCCCCCCCCCTTCCCTTAAAATGCATCTACAAGAACGACGTGTCCTTCTTCAGGCTTTTCCATACTTAATTTGTGATCTATTTCTAAAAAAAAACTCACATCCGCCTAAGTATGTGTGTGTTTATGATTGACAACGAGATGGCTTGAAACTCGACATTTGATTGGCCACGTCGATTGCCCACATTGACGTAAGGGGAGATCTGAATGGCTAGTCAACTTGTATAGGAGTGTTATGATACATTTATTTGTGTTTAATTTACTCGATATCTTCTCATTATTTTCCCTAACAAAATATCATAATATGGTTAAGAACGTTCACATATACTTTCAATAATAAAATATCTGCGAAATAAGTTTTGGGTATTTTCGAATTACAGACATTTTCCATATACACTTACATAATATATATTGATTTTAATAATTAACCCATAAGAGAAAGTATCTATGAATATTAAAACTAGATAATATATTTACGGTGTTTATGAATGCAAAGAAAGAACATTTATGCTTCATTTTAGTACACTTGTTTGGACAGTAAGTTAGTTCGTGTGCAGCAGGTGTTCGGTGAAGGTGTGCAGTGTACGCTGATTGATGTATAATATGTTAAAGGATCATCCAGGTAGGATGTATACGTGTGCAGTAATCAATGTGTACAGGAAATGTGAAGTTTGATGTCCAACCACGCTGTCTGGATAAAGGTTTTGCCACATCACAGTGAGAGAGAAGTCCTGTGTGTCACAACTTGTCACATCATTCTGAAGGTGTAGTCTTGTATCTTGGGGGTGACCGTGGAGACCTCCTGCCACAGCCCATCTCGACCAGGAAGACGATGAAGGAGACCCAGAGGCAGAGACAAAGGATGAAGAAGATTCCCTGCAGGTGATCAAGGCTCAGGGGGATGACGGAGTCCTCCACTTTATCTAAGTTTTCCTCCTCACCCGTGTTTTCTCTCTGGAGCTGAAGAAAACGGAACGTGTGTTTTAATTCAAGCAGATATTTTCATTAATTTGAGCCAAGCTAAAACCCTCCTGGCCAATCTAAGACCCCCTGGCCACGCTAGCGAGCCTCACCTTCCTGGCCAGGTTGTTGGAATCTATGAACCAACGAGTCACCAGGCCACCCTCGAAGGCCCACCTAATTACCCGGTCGAGGTTCTGCTTCAGTGGGGAGTTCTTCTGTAAGGCCACCGCCACGTTGTAGGGCGCGAAGTATTCCTGGGGGTAGGGGTAGGAATATACATTTACATATACAGGAATAAAGTGAAAATAAATCGTGTATATATGTGCAGGAACATAGGCATGCATATACAGATATATTCCCTAAAATTGTGGAATATTTGGCCAAACTGAAAGAGAGATTCACCTATCTGTCAAGACTGAGAGAGAGAGAAGCACCTGACGAGGACCTCACCTTGATGATCCTCATGGAGGCGTGGCCGCGGGTGGTGAACTTGGTGGCTATGATGTACTCCAGGAACTTTTTGCTCTCTATAAACACACCGACCCCCTTCTGCACCTCCAATACCGCCTCCTCGATGCTCGTGTGTGGCTCAAACCTCTCCGTCAGTCCCTGTGTAAAAATGTTTGTATTTGTGTTTTTCTGCAGTAACCAATTTTTTGGTATTCAACAAAGAAATTATTAATATTACAAAGGTACTATACTTGATGAAAGGTAACAAATGTGGTCAGAAGTTTGGTTGGGACGCCCGTATGCATCACTGCTTATGTTTTCATCAATATGAACTTCTACGAACTTCAAACTGAGGAAGATATCCTACTGATCAATGAATACATTTTGTTGCCTTTACCGGTTGTAATAATAGGAATAAACTTAAGGATATTATAGAGTTTAATATATTTTATAGCGATGGCTTAGAGTCGTGACCAAAACTGGGAATAGTGTATTACTTCATCAATGATCGTATTCCCGACAGCAACTCACTGACTGTAGGGCTTAAACAGCCAGCCTCCCAACAGAGTTCTCTTAGGGAGTGGATTAGTTGTTCAGGACTGACGTTCATAGAGCTGGCTGATGAAACTAGGACTCAGAACTTATCAAAGTGTCACCAGCAGTGCTACCAGATACGACACCAACCTGACACCAAAAGATGACACACTGAGGAGCTTCATGACACCCACCTTGATGTTAGGGTTCTCGGAGATGGCCATGGAGAGCTTAATGAAGGTTCCTATACCCAAGATCTTCAGGTCAGAGGCGTGTAACTCTCTGATGGAGTCAATGGACGGGGGTGCCCTCACCACCGTCAGGAACGCCGTCAGGTTGCTACAATATCCTGTAGTGAGGATGATGGCATACACCCACAGCGTCAGCACCAGCAGCTGTGTGGCCGTGCCTTTGGGCACCCTCACCTGGGAGACTCTGAGGTGTATCCCCCAGGTGTAGAGAGTCGACGAACCCATCGTCAGGAGGCTCATGATTTCCTCCTCTCCTCCTCTGTGTGGGTGTTGTGGGAAGTTAATGACACACACACACACACACACACACACACTCACACACACACAAGTTGAGGTAGAAAATGAAAGAGATTCTATTAAGACACATTTGCTTTCATGAGATCAAAAGAATCAAAGGTGTTTAGCCAGTGAAGGTGACCACAGCTCCATCCTTACCTCGGTGGAGTTCAGTGACCACAACTCTGGACTGATTATAGAGGCGACTGATCACCAAACTCACTGAGACTTTGTGTTCATTCATCTCCATACGACGTTTAGTTAAAATCTACAGCTATCTGCTCAAGTTATTGTATTTATAACACCAGGGCCCACTGACAGTCACGGACGGACGAATAACAAGACGTATTATAAACTCGAGAATGTGGAGCGAAGATTTATCTATTCATCGTTGTGATCTGAGTTGTTTCTCCGATTACACCCACATAGTTTACCAAGTATCATCGACATTCAATACTATTTACTCGAGTTGTGGTCACAAATTTAGACGTACAACTACACGGAACACAGTAATAAAGGTCATAACTCTCTTACAAGACAAATGAAGAGTATTGATTATCGCACAGGTCCAAGATATTGCCTGATGTATCCTCTCACCAAGGGAAGCTAAAAGAGTCGCATCACTCCTTGCTGAGACGATGGGAAACACTATGATAGGAAGACTCACCTGTCGCAGGGTATGGGGCAGAGAGAGAGAGAAAGAGAGAGAGAGAGAGAGAGAGAGAGATTTAAACCCATCTATTGGAAGCTAAGAGATAGAGGCAGACTTACCTGCTGGAGGCCAGAAGATAAAGAGCGGGTGCGACGAGGGTTAAGCTGGCCAGGATGGCGAGCCAGGTGTGTAGGGTGAAGGGGAATGCCAGACTCTGCCACCTGGGCAGTGGTGGGGGAGTCCGAGCCATGAAGCAGTTCACCTGAGGGGCGAGAAGGACAGTGGTCATGAGGAGTGGACAAGAATATTATTATTTAATGTCTATGATCCTTTCTTGCCATGAGTGAAAGACAAGTCACTGGGTCAAAGGTCAGGGGGTCAGAGTTTACTAGAGGCACCATGAAGTCTTACACTTGAGTCGTAGAAGGTCGTGAAGTCCTGGACGATCCGCCTGTTGTCATTGTCCGAGAGGAAGATGTTGGCCACGCCCAGGTGAGCCTCGTCCCTCTCCAGCGACCCCACCACGCCCGTCCATGTCCCGTTGTCCAGCTTCCTCCCCCACAGTTCTCCTGCACCGCCACAATAACCATTAATGTGCAACCACCACCACCTCGCCCGTCCGCCTGCCAACTCCAGCATCCTCCTTCACATCCCTCAAGCATCACTACCCCCATCATGAACATGCAACGGAAACTGTTGGATCTACGTAAGCGCCACTCCAGACGAACGCTCGTCCAACACAGGCATACCTCCTGGGGGCTGAGTGAAGCTGAGGGAGAAGTTGAGGACCTTGGCTAAGGCGGTGACCAGCTGGAAGTCTCGGCCGTACCTCGCTGGTCCTCCCTCTCCCCCGACCACCATGTGCGGTGCGAACGAGAAGGTCACCACCTGCGGGATGGTAACGGACGCCCGGGTTAGTTATTGTGCGCCTCTGTTAGTTCTTCACTATACTAAACTATTTACCTTTCATAGTGAAATTACTAACACACCCAAAACAGTACATTATCTTACCTATGAAAAATAGCTCGCCCAAAATAGTAAGCCATCGTTCTCTTATACTAAACTTACCGTAAAAAGATGGAAAATCAACAACAGGTGAGAATTAGTTGAAGTTTACCTTGAGGACGGCACCTTGGAAATCAGCGAGCTTATCTGGGAAGAGCACTACCTGCCGTGTGAAGGTGTTGCGTCGCCAGGTTGTTACGTGTTTCAACTCCGGACCATAATATAGCTGGTTCATGTACACCTCCCATTCTCCTGGACCACCTGTCTGTACGCGTGAGGGTAAACAACTCAAGGAATTCTCTTTATTATATGTGTGTCTCTGTGTACGTATATGTGCTTGTGTGTACGTGTGTATGAGTGTATTTTTTGGAACACATACAAACACTCTCTCTCTCTCTCTCTCTCTCTCTCTCTCTCTCTCTCTCTCTCTCTCTCTCTCTCTCTCTCTCTCTCTCTCTCCGTTGCTCTAAGAATATAATGATAATTTAGAATAAAGGTAAATGGTGTTTTGGGACATGTATCCATATTACACGTCCTATTTTACGAAATGGATATGCAATAAAACATTAAAGAGATGAGAAAAAAGGGACATGCATTTCAGAACAAGCATGTCCTAATTTTAGAATATTACACGTAGATACAGACATGCATTGGGCATTTCACCTTACCTGTATCACGCCAAGGATGTGTTTAGTCTTCTGTCCGATTTTAGACAGTGTCACATTTTTCAATTGGTGTTTGGACGGACTCAATAAAATGTACCTGAAACGGAGATGGACAGAACTGCTTTTATTAAACCAGGAGGTGATGGGACTGTTCACCAAAGCGGTTCTCTACAATGAACCAGTTTACTTCATAAGTAGGTTATCGTACTGTAGTTATAGTAAGATAAAGTTGTCGTACTCAAAAGTAAAGTTTATGTAATCAAGGGGAAGTTATCGTACTCAGAGGTTAGTTATTGTACTCGAAGCTAATTTATAGTAATCAAAGGTGCGTTATTGTACTCGAAGAACATTTTAAGTTATTTAAGGAAAGGAATTATGTACCTGGCGGAGAAATCCCAGGTGAGGTGGGTGGAGGGGGAGGCGAGGAAGGTGAGGAGGGGGGAGAGGTCGTGGAGGAGGAAGAGGTTGCCATGACACCCAGCCGAAGACGACCACCACCACGACACATCTACCAGGTCGTGCCACTCAACCAATCTTACTACCTGAGGGAGAGAGAGAGAGAATACGATAATTCACCTCAAGTAAACACTACTCTAATCTATCTATTTATCTATCTATCTATCTATCTATCTATCTATCTATCTATCTATCTATCTATCTATCTATCTATCTATCTATCTAATATATACTGTAGAATCTATTAAATATATTCATCTATATCTACTAATTTTGTAATATTTCTTGGCAAATTACTTCAAAATATGGTGAACATGATGAACACACCTGTCTGAGTAATGAGGGAACACACCTGTCTGAGTTATGAGGGAACACACCTGTCTGAGTTATGAGGGAACACACCTGTCTGAGTTATGAGGGAACACACCTGCTTCAAGTTGGGGCGGGTGAGGAGTGAGAGAGCGAGGGAATCATAATAAACTGTGTCTGTGATCACTACCAGGGAACACTCCTTAAGTTCCTTCGTGATGATGGCGCTCAGTAAGCTCCCAAGTGCTTCTTCCTCCTCTTCCTTCCGTTCCTCTTTCCTCTTGAGGTATAGGGCAGACGCTCTCAGCAGGAGGCGGACGTCTTGGTGGCTTGTGTCGTTACCTGCTGCTACTGCTGCTTCCTGCTGCCTCAGGAAGGAGCTCGGAAATCCTTCTGTGTGTTGTATAGCACCTTCCTCTTCCACCCTCTGCTTCAGGACGTGTAGGTCATCAATAGTAAACCGTGAGAAGGTCTTTCCTGAAGGGCGGTGAGGTGTACGTACTCCTGCCGACCCCGAGGCTTTGGTCGTAGTCTGTGTAGTGACGGTGACGAGGAGGAGGATGAGTAACGTGTTGACGAGTTCCCACATGTTAACCATCATACCTGTGGCAGGGCGACAGTGTATGTGACCACAGCTGTTACTCAGCACACTGATCAGAGGCAGCCGACAGCTTATGTGTTTATGAATGAGAGCAATAGAGGCGGAGCTTGGTGGTAGGAGGAACGCGTTTGTGGGAGGAGCTTGTTGATGGGAGGAGCTTGTTGGTGAGAGGAGCTTTCTGGTGGAAGGAGCTTACTGGTAGAAGGAGTTTGTTTGTGGGAGGAGCTTGTTGGTGGGAGGAGCTTACTGGTGGGAGGAGCTTACTGGTACAAGGAGCTTGTTGGTGGAAGCAGCTTACTGGTGGGAGGAGCTTGTTAGTGGTAGGAGATTGTAAGTGGGAGGAGCTTATTAGGAAGAGCTTACTGGTGGAAAGAGCTTATTGGTGGGAGGAGCTTGTTGGTGAAAGGAGCATACTGGTGGGAGGAGCTTGTTGGTGGGAGGAGCTTGTTGGTGGGAGGAGCTTGTTGGTGAAAGGAGCATACTGGTGGAAGGAGCTTTGTTGTGGAGAGCTTGTTGGTGGAAGGAGTGTGTTGGTGGGAGGAGCTTGTTGGTGGGAGAGCTGTTGGTGGGAGGAGCTTGTTGGTGGGAGATTCCTGTCTGCAAATGAGTCTGGTGATGGTCTGTCATGATATTCCTGTCAAGTGATGACGCCATTTATTCAGATGGATCTGTCATGGATGGTTTCTGTCATGGATGACCAGGTCATGATATTCCTGTCAAGTGATGATTCCACAAGGATGATGATTCTGTTGAATGATGGACTATTTCATGTTGTACGATCTGTCATGAAATGATTCTGTCAAGTATGATTCCGTCAAGTGATGATTCTGTCAAAATGAGTTCTCTGTTCGGAATTAGTAGATATTCTGACAGGAATGAGTCTCATCATGTATTATTCGCTGGCAAATGATTCCTCAATAAGTGATGAGTTCGTCAGGTGATATTCTGTCATGATATTCTGGTCAGTACGAACCCAATATGGATGATTCTATCGGTGATGATTCGTCAAGTGTCGACACAGTGGGATGATTCCACAAGTGAAAATGATTCACAAGTGATTATTCTGTCAAGTAAATGACGCAAATAAGTGATATTCGTCAAGTGATGATTCCGCTGGAATGATGGTCGCCGGCAATGACTGGTTGGCGCAATGAGTCTGTCATATGGTCTCGTCAAGTGATGATTCGTCATGTAATTTATTCCGCCGCGATGAGTTCTGTCAAGTAGTATTTTATCAAGGGATGGTTCTGTCATGGACAGAGTTCCGTCAAGTGATGTTATCTGGCCAAGCAAATGAACCAGTCAAGTATTTATTCATTGCGATGACTTCGTCACAAAATATCGCACAAGGGAGGAGCTTGTTGGTGGGAGGAGCTTGTTGGAAGGAGGAGCTTGTTGGTGGAAGGAGCTTGTTGGTGGAAGAAGCGTGTTGATGGGAGGAGTTTCTTCAGTCACTTTGTATTCCAGGATGAAACTTGGGTACACCACTGATCCTAAAATCATACGAATAAAATAACAAGATAAATAAGTTCTCCATCCCTTCAGAAGTTCTGGATCAATAGCCTCTAGGGTAATGATCATAACGTCAGTGATATGGGGTATCGGCGGAGCATGGGACCTGAGTGAGCAACCGAGAACAAATAGTTAAAGAGCCGTGGGAATTCTCTCTCTCTCTCTCTCTCTCTCTCTCGATCTATATTGTGCTTTTTAGGGATAATCGTCTTTTTAAATCTTGAAATTTTTTAGTGTTTTTTACATAAGGAGAATTATTTGTGTTTATCTCTAAAGCAGCATGAAAATGACTACGTATATAACTAGTTTAAATTCACTTTATCTCGTCATCATTAATGGAACTGGTACTATATATTTATAGTTTGTATCATATTCTTCTACAATATTTATTCAACATTTAGAAAACCAAGAAATATTATGAAAATTCTCAATATCACAATTATCCCCCAAGACTCCGAATAATTATGGTTATTCCACTCATATTTTTCTCTCAATTCAAATGATAACTGAACAAAGTAAGTGAATATAAAACTAATGATTGGCATAACTTATCCAATGACATTTGATTCTTCTCTCATATCTGTAGGTCAGTAATTTACATCAATACTTAACGTAGCAAACTTTACGGAAAGTCGTTAATTTACTAAAAGTTCAAAAGAGTTTCTCGGTGATGCTGAGAAAATTAATGCTCGGTGAATTACAATGGGTATGAAACTAAACTCGTCTTAAAAAATGGTATTATTTTATTATTATGACTGACCTGCCCGCAGGAAGCATGTTACAGCAAATATAAAAATAATGAATAGTAATTATTTCTTTACACAATATGGCTTCGTTATGTAACAGAAAAGTTACTGTTGTGTTGGGTTAATTAAGGAATAAGAATACAATGTTCTGTTAAGTATTTATATGTGTACATGTCTGTATGTATGTATGTAGTGTACATGTATGAATGTATTTCCTTAAACGTTACATTGGTACATAATAGGGTCTGGAAAGTTGTATGTTATGTGTGCATATGAACACATTTACACACGTTTATACACAATTAAAAGTCATTTTACAAAACAATATACAAATAATCAGTAATTCAGGCTACATTAACTCAAAAAGACTAGCTGTATACCTCCTACAAACACTAACCTACATCAATTGGCCTGTGTTGGCTTTTTGACCATTGTTTTGTTGACATATGTGCCCCCAGGAATATCAAGACACGTATTTGTTTTTAAGTCAATTTTCTCTCTCTCTCTCTCTCTCTCTCTCTCTCTCTCTCTCTCTCTCTCTCTCTCTCTCTCGCACACTAAACACAATTTCCATTTCCACTCAACAAATCTTCTTATTTATATACGACAAACACAAACATTACTTACAGTGCAGCTAACAAAACAATTTGACAGCACATAACATATTATATCCTCCCTAATATACTTTTAAAAATTATTATATACAATTGTTTCATATGTTCAGAGCACAGAAAATATATTTACGTATTTCATAAAAGTTTGGCTGGGGCGTTACTCAGTTGTCTGCAGTGATTGGTTGATGGTGTGTTTACATCTATGTTGATTGGCTAATGGCATGTTTGCATCTGTATTGATTGGTTGACGGTGTGTGCGAGGAGAACGGGACATTGGTTAAATGGAGTAAATACACTCATTTTTGATAGGTCGATGGCGTGTTTACATTCTCGCTGATTGGTTTTAAAGGGGCATTCAATTCTCATCATTGGATAAATAGAATAATTTTTTTTCGTTCGTATTAATGTTAAACTCAAACCAATTTCACCAATCCAAAATTAAGATCATTTTTCCAATAGGTTTAACCAGAGTCACGACCAAGAGGGTTATCAGGGGTCTGTAGTCTCAATAATTCTTACGTTAAATTTTCCTATTAATTGAAGGTATAAGAATGTGCCTAACTGGTTGACCTAGACAAACAAAAATATCATTATAATTACACTAAAACTCTACCTGAAATTCACACACACACACACACACACACACACACACACACACACACACACACACACACACACACACACACACACACACACACGACAACAACCAATAAATAACAATAATCAGATCAAAACAAGATGAATTCTGATGAGCATTAACCAATTAAAACAAACAAACAAACAGACAAAATGATCAACAACAGACTATATAAACAACATAAAATATAAATACCTTGAAGCATAAAGCACAAATGTTAATACCCAACTTGTATATATATATAAATGACTCGATATACATTATGATACATACACACTGGAACCCACATACACATAACACCAGCCTAGATAATCACTAATTAAACACGAAATATAATAACATCATACAACACTTCAAAATTCACTCCAAAAAAAAAAATAATAGTTTGTTTTATCCTTTGTTTTGCCCTAGAGTGACCCAACACGATAACACAATTCAGAGGGTCATTATCTTCATGACCTTTACAAGACCGTCTCTATGGTAACTACCTTGATCATTGTGTTGTTATTATTTTACATATCTCGAAAATATCACACATACATATATCTCAAAATATCACATACTGAGTAAATATATACCGTAGATATATTGTTTTCTATGTACATATATTCGTTTTGGGGTTTGTTGATATTTATATGTTGTTTCTATACTATGGCAGATGGGGCCTATGTTTGACCAGGTGAGAAACCCTTTGACTCAGATAAAGTTATTGGCTATTTACCTTCCATTCATTTTTAATTACGTTACAATCGTAAATAACCCGTAGCATCACAACCACAAGGAGGGGTTTAAGTACACACACACACACACACACACACACACACACACACACACACACACACACACTCACTCACTCACACACATTAGTATATCAGAACGCATCTGATTGTATTGTGAATCATCTTTTAATTACACATATACTATCTCGTTCACTTATGTCACAACCATCACTACACAACAAGGAGAATTTCGTCACTCTAATTGTAACTCGTATATACTGTACATTTCTTATGGTAAGTTGTGGATCCTTCGTTAACTTGTTGTAACTATATGAAAAAAGATTAGTTTCTCCTCCTTCTTTCTGTTACTTTTCCGTTTTCTGTTTTTATTGTATTTTAGGGGGTACTTTTTTAGCGTCCTCAGAGATTGTAAGCCTTTGGTGAGACGATTTAGGTTCTCTTGTTGTTAGTGTCTCCTCTTCGTCTCTTCCTTATTTACTTATTTCTTCGTGACCTCTAAAGACCTCCTAGGATCTCCAAATCTCACCAAACAACCTCAAAGTGGTCTCCAAGATATCCTAAGAGTCTCTGAAATCTCTCCCTGTTATCTCCAAGTCTTCCTATGGCCTCCAAGAAGATCTAGATTAATCTGATTTTCAAGCTTGTATCACCGGGAGAACCACTCCCCCATCGCGCTCTTTCTCCCATTCAGAAGGTTTTGCCGGAGACGGTGCTGAAGGCGTGGAAGGAGGTGTCGGGTGGGTAGGTGGAGGAGGCGGAGGGGATGGTCCTGATTCGGATGCAGAGGAGAGCGGTGACCACGGACGACAACACCAGCACCACGAACATAACCACAAGACCTGCCACGAACGCCGACACGCTCATACACATGTCCCCGTTACCAGCCTCAGCTTCCTCTGTAATACACAAGACACGTACACAAGGTTATAATGTTGATGTATGTTAATTCCGGAATGCATGGAAATTGGAGTCATTCACAAGATATCTAAAGACTTACAAGACAAGCTAAGATATCGACATAGAGGTGAAAGTTCCAGACATTGTTGAGAAAGAGAAATTAAGAGAAATAGGCAGAGGAAACAGCCACAGACGCGAGGCAGATACAGAAGACATACATAGAAGTAAACTACAGACACAAGACAAGACAAGTGATAGCAGACGTACTGGTGACGAGGGTGATGGGAGTATCGCGTATGAGGGAGTAGTCCTCGGGAGAGATGACCCTCAGCCTTCTGGCCAGCCTCACAGGCTCAGTCACACTCTCGTTCTTACTGCCCCTCTTGTTGTTGATTCTGTTACTCCTGCTGCTGCCTAGGCCACCCGCGCCCTCCTCTCCCTCGTCTTCGCTTTCGTCCTGCCGCCTGCTGTCGTCTCCTCTGTGGCTGGATACTGGCAGGGAGCGCTTCTTACGACCTCCCTACAGGGCAAAGGGTCAACATTCATATTGATTGATTCACCCTGTTTGTAGAAGACTTCAGTGATCAGTAGACATTATGTAATAGACTTTCAATAGAATATAAACTTTTCAAACCATATAAATTATGTAAGAGAATCAGTAGCATCGCCAAGGTTCAACTCGATACTGTATATGTAAGCTGAAGATATGAATACGCATGCGTGAACATGTCTTGTTGTTGGGTTGGTTCATTCCAGTCGCTTTCCATATTTACCTTGCACCACTTTCCTTATGGGTCCACCCCTCTCCCTGCTTTCCTTCTTTGAGGTTTCTATGTCCCCTTTTTGTTCGTCACATACAAAAATAGTTGGGAAGAAAGTTAATAGATTTATAGATAAGTCACACCTCAACGTGATGGAAAATATCTATGACTAAATGGGAAATTACTTTTCTATTATTAATATTATTATTATCATCATCATCATTATCGCTTTCATTCTAAATGCTGTTCTCTCCTTTGGAAAATTATATTCACCATACTTGTATTTGTTAAGCTTTAACATCTACTGAAACTTATATTATTTATACCTATCTTTACCTCTACTTAAACCCGTACTTATACGTTAACTTGTCTTTGTACTTATATAGAGTTAAGGTGTTTGTACTTTATACACGCACTTAAATCTGTACTGTACTCACGTCGGTAATTCCAAACAAACTTTCTAAATATTTGTATATTGAGAGATAGCATTATAGAAGTGTACAGAGACAAGGAGTATGACAATATATGGAACATTATAATAGTGTTTTGTGGGTATGGAGGGGGTCGAAGGGTGTGATCGACTTACCCCGTCCTCAAGACACACAGGGCAGCCATCGGTACACAAGTCCACCTGGCACTCAATATACACGTCGTTCTTATCCGGGAACTTGAATGCCTGAAAAAATAAAAATAAATAAGTAAGGGTTTGGAACGAGCCGATCGGTGGGGAAGAGGATAAAAGTAAATAAATAAAATTAAAAAAAGCATAGATGATTTGCGGGTTTGGTCATAAACTTTCCACAATGTGCAATGAGGCGTATTTGAATAGAATCCCCTTTCACGTTCAAAGAAAATATTTTCAGGCGAATCAGAGAAAACGTATCAGGGATAACTAACATAGCCGACTACAAATAATAATCTTTACATCTACTTTTATTACTTTTACTTTTTACTTGTATTTGTCGAATCCTTTCTATATGGCTAAATAAGATTAGACTTTATTGAAAAATGATCGCGAAACAGCCTACGGTAATATATACATGATCAGAGTGTACTGTACTCACACAAACACGCACACAAAACTCTCTTCTCACCTGGAAGTGTGAGTACGATATGACAGACACCTGGGGGTTGCCCGTGTCCCTGGTCTTCTGCCATGATCCCAGTAGCTTCTTCCTGCTCCCCAGTACACACCCGTTCTGGGGGGGGAGAGAATGAGTCTTAGTTCTGGTGGTATAAGTCTAAGAGTCCAAGCGTCAAAAAGTTTCTGTACTATACGTTATTTTTTTTTCTCATTACTGGTGTGAAATGAGTTTTATCTAGTTAAGGCTTCTATGTAATATTGATGTCATATTACTGGTTATTTTTATTCCTCATCTTGAATCAGTCACTTGGAAGAGTTATTACATATCTAATTGTGAGAAGAAAACAACATACACAGCAGTAAGACTCACCTCGTCAGTAAGTTGGTAAGGGTTCTGGTGAGAGCCGTCGTGAGCCACACACTCCCTCACCAACAGGTCAGCGTTGGCGGGTCCTTCCACACCCACCACCATCGTCATTAGCTCTCCGATCTTCACCATACCTGAAGCAGACGGGGCGAAGGGGCCACGTCCGATCTGTTGAACGGAAGAGGTGCTTACACAGGAAGGAACTTATTAATTTGAGAGTCTTGATTTTTTTAACAGATAGTCGCGTGTTTCATTGACTCAGTTAATTAAACAATTACACATAATATACACCACAATGACTCACTTACTCACCCGCTGTCAACTTCTTGAGAGTCCATCTTTGACTGATAAATGATGCACCACTTATGACTTACCAAGACTCAGTTCACTTCCCTGTAACACTGCTCACCACTACCCCAGCAGTCACTCACTACACACTAACCTGAATATCGAGGGAGGCGGAAGCGATGGTGTCAGCAGAGAAGGAGACAACCTGTTGGTCCAGCATAGCCACGTTGAGGGCGGCGCTCACTCTGTGGGTTGAGTCACCTCCTGCCCCGTCGAACACACACCTCACACCTCTGGCTGTGTCCCATATCTGTAGTAGTGTAGAGTGTGTGAGTTATACAAGAGCTCCAGTGGGTGTAGAATATAACACAAGGACGATATTCTGTCCTACACTCCCCATAATATTGTAACCATCAATATTCTACATTAGGGTTAAAGAGACGATTTTTACAAGAGAGAGACACCAGATAGGAATGTTCCCCTCCACTGTCTGGTAACTGATGTATTAAAGTTTGTGTCTTGCTCCAACTCATCATATCTGCGTCTTCCTCTCACTACACCTGCAACTCGCCCTCATCTTCCCTGTGTCCTATCCACACCATACCTCCACGCACCCCTCCCCCACCCGCGCCTCACCTCCTGGATGCCGGGTTCGTTCTGGATGACGACAATGTTCTCGAGGTAAGAAGGTCCTCCCTGGGCCTCCACATACTGGGTGCCACACGTCCCCGCCACCATGAGGAACTCGAACTCCTGTCCTCCTGTGCCGTGAGCCACGTAGGTGCACTGTGGAGAGCTGTAGAAACCCTGGAGGAGACAACAACCTTCGTCAGGAGGTCGATTATTGCATATCGTGCGTGTAGACTACAAGGCAACATGGGTTCTCAGCTAGAGGAAGTTGAACGAGGGACTCACCTTGGCGTACATAATACCGTCAAAGGACCTGTCGAAGATAATCCTGACGTTCATCTGGTCCCTCTGACAGGCTACGTCCAGGGCCACCACCTGGGCCATGGCCACTCCTGGTTCCAGTGGCAGTAGGTTCCCCACCACACCTGTAACACAACTGTCATCAGTACCATGGTCAGCACGACACCCCACACCTGTAGCACATTTATCACCACTACCAATATAATCTTTCAGGTAGAAGGTGTGTCATAAGTCTTCGTGTGTGTGTGTGTGTGTGTGTGTGTGTGTGTGTGTGTGTGTGTGTGTGTGTGTGTGTGTTCACTAAACTTATCACTGAGCTTCTCTACCTTGTTATCCTTATTATTGGCGTTGTGTGTAGGTGGGGTGATCCTGACCTCCGCCACCCCTGACAACTATAATTATAAGCATTACAACAGCCAGTCCTCGGTAGCTGGGTGAGCTATCAGCCTTCTGTTATGGAATCGCTTCTACATCGACACTTAGAGCCTACAGAAGGCAGTACATTTGTGAATTTAAAATTATACTGAGAAGTTTGTTTTCAGTGGTAGATGTCTAACTCACTAACTTTAGCGCGAGTCTATGGCAGTCATGATAGTTCTTGGGCCCGTTGAGAGAGGAGGTGTGTCGACTTTAAATTATCTAAATAGTTGTCCCTCTGGCGTCTCCTAGTATCACTGCACCAAAAGGAAAACATTAAGATACAATGCATAATGGGCTACCTACTCCACTCCTCTTACCATTGTTCTCCTCTTCCTTTCCCTTCCACCCACTACCTCAAGTCCCAGAGCTCCTCACCCTCATTGCTACCTTTCACACGCCCCACCTTCATCCCCCTGTGGCCTTTGGTCTCCGGGTTCCTGGTCATACCTGAAGGAGACTGCAGCAGCTGGAAGTTGTCCTGTAGTTGCTGTTGTTGATCTTGTTGTGTCCCCGGGCGGTGTCTGAGACCAGGGGCGGGTAGGACATACGCTCTGGACTCCTCCTGGGGCATCGCGATGTTGTCCAGCGCCACCTCCGCGACACCCACCTGTAGGCAGAACACTCGAGTAAAACAACGTGACATGACAAAAGCTATCAATATACAGTACCTTAGAAAGTTGTGACGAAGAGGAGGACCAGGTACTGTTAGCCTGCACTGTCAGTTAAAATGGTGATCACTGATGACTCACTTAGTAGTTCTGAAATACTGAGGATCCGTCGATTATCACAACCGTCACACCTGGACCACTAAGTTACATATTTCTAATCAGTGGATTACCCAATACAGATCAAGTGTAAGAAAGATATTTGATTCAATGACATATTGGTATGTAATCCAACAAAACCTTTACATCTAACCTAATGATAGCGTCAGACAGTCATCGACCAGTTGACATACACTCCCGATAAAAGTAAAAGTGATTACATAGTTTACAGTTTACAGTAGTATGCCCAGTAATTGGCGTACGAAAGCTACGTTTTCTCTCACACGTTAGTTGAGTCGAGGTGAGGGGCTCCGTAAGCCTGACACACTTCTCCTGTGGGATATTTCCTTTAGCTACTAAACATGATGCGTAACTCGTTTATAATTTTCCCAATTGACTTTATAACTGCTCTACCCTGACAGTCTTGAATATCTCCCGGGTTTATTTTTCACTTGATGTGGTTAATGTGTTATGGTTGATTAGTAAATGGTTATTCTTTTCATACGGACACCAATGAAAATAATCTTTTGGTGGTTTTATTCGTCTATTATTAGTTAAATCTAGGTTTTAATCTTCATTTTTAGCTTCATTAGGACCGTGTCAGTACAGGAGAAAACTACATCGTCAGGAGAGAACCTGTTATGTGCCGTAGTGTCGCTGAACAACACCTTGCCCACGCAGGCGGAAATCGAATCCAGAATGATAGATTATTTTGGATCACCTGGATATTACCCAGCTTAGCTCACCTAATAATTAAACACACAGACGCTACCTAGGGTTAGGGTAAGATACGTTTCTTTACGTTAGGTTAGGTTAGGTTTGCTTAGGTTAGGTTAGCTGGGGTGCCAAAATTTTCTTTTATAAATCATCTTCTCTCATAATTTTGTCTGGTGCTGAGTGAACGTATCTAGTTAAGATATAATAAATATTGTTTTGCTATTTTCTAACGTTATTTGTGTACACTAAGTTAAGTGAAACAGTGAGGCACATTCTTACATATACGATTATAAGAGAATTTTCACCGCGTTGACCTTTATGAGACGTTCTCCTCACCCAGTACATGTCAGGGGGCGTGATGCTCTACGTCAGGGCCTTTGCTGCCAACCCTGACGAGGTCTGTCTCGTCGGAACACACTCATCTCTGTCCTCTGTATGTCTCGCTGAACTAGGCCATTAATCTCTAGCTGGGTGCACTATTACCAGGTCGTGGGAGGTGGGGGGAGGGGTGTGGCTCGTGTTTTTATGTGTCATCTGATAGCTTGTGATTTATGGCCAATACATTTAGTGTACTTCATAAAATTAGAGTTTTTTAGTGTAATATTAACAGCATTTCTTTATATTTTTTTTTTCATATATTCTTTGTATATTGACAGATAATAGTGTGGTATACAATACTTGGCCAGAGATTATAATTAAATTTCTTATTATAGCCGCCATAAGGGTTGAATCCTTACTAAGACGATCTAGTACACAGTAATATTTATCCATATTTATATTTTTTTTTAAGAAGCGTAGCAACGATCGTATCTAACTGGTTTCCTGTTGTAAAAAAAAAAGAAGTTTAGATTCTCGAACAGCAGCGGCTCATTCGCTAACCTACAAACATTAATCTTTTTAAATATATAGAATTTGTTTAGAATTATACAGCCTAGAGGCCTAAATGACACTGTATATTGTTTGTTCGCCAACCAGTCAAACTTAACTTAGAGACAGATAGACTAGAACAGACAGGAAGATGGAAAAACTGGTCGAAATATAGACAGTTGCAACGTACCAGAAGGAATTAGACGGGTAGACTCCAAAGGTAACCGAAAACAGACAGATAGACAAATTATTAAACATTACACACAAGTAGACTAAAATAGACAAAAAGCTCAGAATAAAATAAACGGAAATAGACAGGTAAACGGCAAAACTAGACAGAGAAACAGCCAGTGACAATACCTGATGGGTGACGTGGAGTAGCAGCATAAGGAACATGTGAAGACCCGTGCCGTCACCCCTCATACTGCCTTACACCACTCCACTACTCCTGTCACCTAATACCTGGAATAAGAAAAAAAAAAACAATATGAGACGTATTATAATTAGTATTGCGTTTCTTACATAATTATAATGAATATGGCGGCGTTTTAAGTGAAATGAAAGTATGTAGGTATGTACTGTATGTATGTATGTATGTACTGTATGTATGTATGTAACTGGTACACTAGATGCAATTTCGTATACGTAATTAGAGTGAAAAATACAGTTGGCAAGGTTAAAAAGAACATGTTCCCCTCCATTAGTGTTGGTGCAAATCCCTCCTTCCCTCTCTCCTTCCCTCCCTCCCTCCTTCCCTCTCTCCTTCCCTCCCTCCCTCCCTCCCTCCCCTCCTCCCTCCTTCCCTCCCTCCCTTCCTTCCCTCCCTCCTTTCCACCCTCCCTCCCACCCTCCACACTTTCTGCTGCATCTGCTGAATAATGTCTATGTACAATAGTGATGGTAAATTTGGTATGAGTTTCTATTTTCTTAAGTGATTTCTATTTCATTGTCTTCCTTTCAATCACAATATGTAATTTCTGTTTCATTTTCTGGTTGAGTTCATATGGTAATTTATTTAGTCAAGTACACGTGAAAGTGGGTCCCATATATACCTGACCCACCCTGTCCTAAGCCTTTATCATTGTATATCGTTAACTTTTATATATATTGTTATTTCAATTTGGTGATTTTTATTTAATTTTGTTTTTATTCCAACACTGCTCATTTTGTATTAGAGGTTCATTAGATGTACAAATTAGTTAACACACCCAAACCTATAACGTAACACAAGCCTAAGCTACTCTAAGCATCTATAGGTGTTATTTTGCTGCAACGAATCACTTAAACTTGATTCGTGTGTGTGTGTGTGTGTGTGTGTGTGTGTGTGTGTGTGTGTGTGTATGTATGTCGTGATCACAGCTGTTGCACGTAAACAATAACAGAGATTTGTGATTCATTAAATAGCGCGGGTAATTACCTCCCACACGAGACACATTACCGTAGGGAAAATGTGTTTATCGGTGCAATTACGAGTGAGAATAAAGGAGGGGAGAGTGGAAGAAGCAGAGATGAAAGGTGGTGATGATGGGAGGAGAAAAGGGAAGGAAATGGAAGGGGTGCAGTGAGCTACGAGGAAGAGGAAGATGACGAAAAGAGCAGAGATCCAGAAGAAGCAGAAGGAATATGGAAGAAACGTTGATAAAGAAGAGGTAAAAATATACTAAAGAATGATAAGAGGTGAACACAAAGGAAGAAAGGCAAACGACGATGATGAGAATGGAACTACCGAAGAGCAGACAGATGATAAAGAATTACAAGCACACGAGTATAGGAAAAAAACCAAACCAGGAAACCGCTAATATCCTTCTCCCGCCCAGCCTTCCCTTCCCTTCCCCGCAGATGAGTCACTGCACCATTACAAACCTCTAATTATAAAAGTTTGCCTCGAGAAAAAATATTAATTTCCTGAATGAGCGTGCTCTTGACGTGGCAGTGTTACCAAAGAAAAAAACAAGTCTGAAGAGGCTACGCTATAGTAGAAAGAATACGTAAAAACATATAAACCAATAAATAGATGTTATATTCCTTTGTTATTAACTAATTTGTCATAGACTTTATTGTTTGTATTCAGTGTGTGAATGTTATCGACTGCAATATGGGTTTTGGTGTAAAATATATAGCCGATGAAATTACATCCCAACGTCTCTCTCTCTCTCTCTCTCTCTCTCTCTCTCTCTCTCTCTCTCTCTCTCTCTCTCTCTCATTTCCACTAGTTTATTAAGGAAATTTCTAAAGGAAGGATTATTGCCAATTGTTTAACTCAACTCCCTATCTGCACTGCTTACTAGGTATCTATGGTAACGTACGTGTTTAAATGTGAAAAGATGAATAATATTTCATTGCAACGTTATTTAATTTTTTTTATGGCTTCATAGAGGTGAACCGCCCATCCACACACCCTGAATTTTCTCAACCAGTTCTTATATAGGTCCTTGTTCTCATCATTCAACTTTCTCTCTCCCTTTCACTGTCTTACCTTTGACATTTTCTGTCCTCTCATCGCTTTCCTCATTTTTCTTGCTCCGTTTCTCTGCCTTACCTTTCACCTTTCCCCCTCCTACACCTCTCATCACTCACCCTTCTTCCCCTTCTACTTTCTCCTCCAGTTTTCCTCCCATCTCCCGCTTCGTTTCTCTCCTTCCTACCACTCCCTCTTCTCTTCTCTTCTCCGCCCTTAATTACACTGGACGTTCATCACCGTGGATGATAGTTCTTAGCGTCACGACCCAACTTTCTACAGTTTAAGATTTATGTCTTCCGGTGGTCGAAGTAATAGTAATATAGAAAACGTCAACTAGAAATATTAAGGGGATAACTGCAATATTTTCGTTGTGTTTTTAATTGGTCTGTGTGAAGTAATACAGCTTACTCAAGAGACGTGTATAACGTTGTGATTTTTGCCCCTACCATAACTTTATTTATTTTATCATTAACTTAACTTTAAACTATGACATAACTAATACTTTATCATTAATTATTATTTTCTGTTCTTGTCTTTGTAATGGACTCAAATGATAATATTTATTGCCTCATGTTCAGTTTAAAAGCTGACTCACCATCATAATAATTATACTGTATATATACTCCACAGTCATCATCCTTATCTTCATCACTCTTGTTTATCACCTTTCACTATCAGCCTCACTATACAATCCGTTCAATAGAGGTTTCACTATAATTCATAAATAAGTTAATGTTAGGAGGAAACTACTGAAAAACTTAAGCATTTTTCCATATTGTTTTTAACTTTTGCCATTATAAGAACTTTTATGACGATGCTATTTGAATTTTCATGGGTTTGCTCTCGAGTTTTTGTTATCCAACCCTATATATATATGCTTTATATATCTCTAAAAAAGAATTAAGATCACCACTGAGAATAGAATAAGATCCTTAATGACAAAACAAATTAGTAAAATTTCTCGTGAAAGTTTAACTGAAGGTTCAAACTTAATGTTTCCCACAAACCACGTAGCCTGGCGCTCCTGGTTCCACTAGGCTCATGAAAAATTACTGGACCGGGTTTTATAAAGTTTTAAAAGCTTGTGTTATAAGATACGAAAACTTTTACTGTGTGTATAATAACCCTGGGGTGAGGTGGTCGAATAGAGACATACAAAGCTCTCCTCCTGCACTGGTTCGATCCTGGAACACCCCCAGTCCACTTTACAGATGGGGAAATGCATGCGGTCGAGTGCAGTGCCGGCCACTTTGTCTCTTTGTTCAGTATTGGGTGTACAACTGCTACCAAGTCCAATGGGATACACTTTCATAATGGTTTCTAAAAGACGTTTATTAAGTAACCGATGTTGTTTAATGGAGAAACATAGATTTGGTGAACTGTGCTCACCAATTTGTCGTTCAAGTGCCTGAATCTACAACACGATTAAGTAAAGCAGATGACCTTATTATTTGAAGCGTTGATTTAAACAAGATAATTACTTAGACTTGATGTAATACCCTATCAGTTTAATGAGTGTTCTGTTGTATTATTAAATGAGTCTGGTTTAGATGTTACTGTTGTCTGTGTGGATATAATAACTGGACTAGATACGCTATATTTCTACTAAACTAATTGTGCCATTGTGTTGAAAAATATATATATTATATTCCTATATGAATAAAGACATTTTACGGTATTGATATAGGCTATTGAAATACTTTACCAGGTATTACAACGTTTTTAAATACGGTATTATAAGATATTGTTTTTTTCAAGTTTCATCGCTCAAAAGGCTCAGTAATGCCAATACAGTACTGTAAATCATTTTGCATCTGCATTATTCTAACTAATTAAACTGCTTCATTTTTAATAATTCCAATTACATGTGGGGCTAGGCACGTAATTAAACCTCATCCACGCAAAAATTAAACTAGTCTGCTTCTCTTCCTCCTCCCGCCGTTGCTGCTTGAACTGGCGAAACTAGACGCTATTTTCGCCTCATGTCAACAAAGCAGCGAGCCCCTGACGTTCACTGGGTACATAAGCTCGACTCTCGCGTTAATAACACGATAAGTAAACATATATTGATTTAGCCACTTCATCATAGCTCAGGGAATGTAATGATGAACAACTGTCGAAAATCATCGTTAACAGAATATTTACATACTTATTGCGTTCTAGACAACCTAACTACAATACTACATTATTTAATACAATACCCGTGTTGACAAATTTGACTTTAGGTCATAAAATTAGGTTTGGTATTTTATGGTATTATTCGGTATAGTAATGTGAGGTTTCATTATAATATGTATTTAGATACCGTACACGTGTTCTTTAAGGCAAGGAAAAGTTTATAGAGACCTAGAAACACACACCTACACACACAACCAGACAGACACCCTCTCAGACACTTACACAGACAACCAGACACACACACCTAGACAGTCAACCAGTCAGACACCCAGACTCACTCAGACACCTACACAGACAACCAGACACACACACCTAGACAGTCAACCAGTCAGACACCCAGACTCACTCAGACACCTACACAGACAACCAGACACACACACCTAGACAGTCAACCAGACACCTAGACAGACAACCAGACACACACAGACTCAACCTCAGACACAGACTACTTACAGACAACCAGACACACACACCTAGACAGTCAACCAGTCAGACACCCAGACTCACTCAGACACCTACACAGACAACCAGACACACACACCTAGACAGTCAACCAGTCAGACACCCAGACTCACTCAGACACATACACAGACAACCAGACACACACACCTAGACAGTCAACCAGTCAGACACCCAGACTCACTCAGACACTTACACAGACAACCAGACACACACACCTAGACAGTCAACCAGTCAGACACCCAGACTCACTCAGACACCTACACAGACAACCAGACACACACACCTAGACACATCACCATAATACGCTCGAATCCCAGCTAGCAAAAGCACTCAAAATATTCTGCATTTTCTAGAAAGTGAG